GTCGCCGGCGAAAGCTCCCGAGGGCTGGGCGCCTGCAGGTTCCTTTGTTTGGGCCCCGGCAGCCCACTTCAGCCTCTGTCCGGCAGTTGTGTGGCTAGGTATGGCTCGGGGGGCCCGCTGTTATTTCCTACCCACTGTTCTCCCTGTGGTCCTCGCAGAAGCCCTGTACGCCCTACTCTCACTGGCCCTGTGATAGAGCAGACTCTGGCGTCAGGTAGAACTTGTTTCGAATTCTGACCCCTCTCTGAAGTAGTTGGATTACCTTTGGCAAGCCACCGGCCCTTTCCTTTTCCTCGTCTGCAGAATGGGGATACCAATAGTAATCTCCTTGGAAGGGCTGTTGGCTGCTCCTCTGAGATTATTTGTTAAGCCTTCCCGTGGTGCCCGGTGTGGAATGAGTTCAGATCTGCATTAGTTTCCTCCCCATAGACGTGTCATTAAAGAAAGGTGTGTGGAGGCCCTGCCAAATTAGTAGTCTGTAGAGCGGGCCTGGGTGTGAGTGGTTTTGTGGGCCCAAAGAATGGAAAGTTTGGTGCCTGTTGGGAATGACGTAGAGGAACCATGAAGTATGTACACTACATTGCAACCTGAGCCCAGCGGGGCCCTCTACTCCAGTTTCACTGCTCAGCACTCTTCCTAATGCAAAAGGGTTAACTTTTATCACTGCTCTGCATAAAACCCTTCAGTGGTTCCCCTTTGCTCTCAGGATAAATCAAGCCTAGATTCCTGAGCATGGCATTCAGAGACCTTCATCATTTAGCAGCCGCTGCTTCTCTCTTTGATCCCTATGACCCTCCACCGTGCAGTTTGAACTTGATGCTCTGACAATCCCAAATGGGTTGTTATCCTCCATACATTTTCTCTGCTTTTGCCTCTGTCTGGAATGCCTCTCTTTCTCTGCTGTCCCACACTGCTCCATTTGGCTCCTTCACTTGAAAAACATATTGCTCAGATGTGCCTTCATCAGGAGAGCCTGCCCAGGTCCTTCCAATAACATCTTGTGTTCCTTGCTTGGGGTCTAGGAGGGGAGGGCAGCCCCTAGTTGCCCACAGACCAGGTGGCTCTAGGTCAGCATATTTTCCTAGAGTTGGATCTCTCAGCTTAGGGCTTTTGGGCTTATAGATATAAAAATATTTTGGAAAAGTTTTTGGCATCAGGGGAGATGAGGCCAGTTGATATTATCGGTCTTAGAGAGCCTTCAGCTGCAAAGGCTGGCAGCATGTCCAGGAGGCAGATGAGCCCCCTCAGCCCAGGTGGGCAGCCTGGTTTACATTTTAGCTCTGCCTTTTACTGGCTCAGTGGCTGTGGCAATTACTGAACCTCCCTGAGCCTCAGGTTCCTCCACTATAAAATGAGAGTAATAAGAGTGCACACCTCGCCGGACTGTGAGGGTTACAAGATAGTGACTGGAGGTGTGTGCGTAGCATGGAACAGGGACTCTGCCTGCTTGCGGTCCCCCTTACTTCTTTTGGAGGCCTGAACCTAGTATTGAGAAATCTCAGGGGGCCATTTTATCCATTCTGTGGCTGGCTAACCCTTCCCAGACCGGATGCTTCCCAAGCATCCTGGCCTGCTGGAGGTGATTGGGATTGTTTGAAAGTACTTCCTTTCCTTGAGCTGCAATAGACCTTCCTTACATTGCTGCTTTCAATTCAGCATTGGCTGCATCCTGGCTGTGGTTTAGTTGATGGTGCCAGTGACTCACACACAGACTGTACCGGCTTCCTTCAAGGAGCTGTGGTTTGGGGATGGGGTAGGAGAAGGGTGAGGGTTCCTAGGCGATGATGTGGCAATGCAGGGCCTGGAGGGTCATGGTGAGTGCAGCACAGAGCAAGGTAATTTCCCTGCTCCTCAAGAGGACAGCTTCCTGCCTTCCTCAATTCTCTCCTCTCCGGGGGGAAAAACTTGCAGGAACTTCAGCTGTTCTTTCTCTGAGGTTGTTCTAATAACCTCTTCCTGATTGCTCTTCCGGACAAAGTTTAGTTCACTATGACTTTCCCTCTGAACGTGCATACCCCAGACCTGATTTGGAGGTTGGAGGGCTGCTAGAAGTCATAGTGGCACTGTGAGCCCCTGAATCCATTTGCTTTTTTTTTTTTTTTATTTGCTTTTTATTGGCAGAGAGCTCCTCTCCAGGATGGCATGGTTTCCCAGAGTGGCAGACTTTGGGGGACCCCAGAGATTGTCTTTTTTGCAATAACTTTAGTGGTGGAGAGGTGTGTAGGACACTCATATGGTTTCTGGAAATACTTTCCCCCATGTTTGCACTGCACGAGTTGACAGAGAGGGGAGCAGCAGCTGCTGGTACATTAGTTATGAGGCAGCTGCACATCTTGGGTCATTTAGAGCCTGAGTGGGGCAGCTCAGAATCCTTCTGCGGGGATTCTACCAGCCAGAATCTGTGGCTGCCTGGTCTTTTGCTGAAGCCAGTCCCTTGACCCCAAATCTCCCGCTTCCCATCCTATCCACTCTGCTTCCCTGACCAGTGATCCTTCCGCTTCTGATACTAGCTTCCAGCTCATCTCCTAGGGAGGTTCTGTTCTTAGGGTTTGCATAGCAGGGATCCCTTTCATTGTCATGCTGTCACACTTTGGGTCACTGTTACTGGGGCCGGAAAGGATGAGGTGCCAAGAGTATGGAATGGAGTCTGGTCTGGGACCCAAGCCAGAGCCACCCCTCCTCCCAGCCAGAGAATGGTCAGCCAAGTCCTGCACCAGAGCCCTAGGCGGCCTTCTTAAAGGCACCATGCAGCTCTTGCGTTCAGGAAGCATTTCCAAAAGTAACTGATTTCTGGAATTAATGGGAATGAAATAGGGGCTCACTCTTGTACAGAAAAAAGACCTTTTGGGGGGTCACAGAGTAGGGAAGTGACAGGTTTATTGTACAGAAAAAGACCTTTTGGGGGGTCACAGAGTAGGGAAGTGACAGGTTTATTGTACAGAAAAAGACCTTTTGGGGGGTCACAGAGTAGGGAAGTGACAGGTTTATTGTGAGCCTACTCTTCTGTTAAGCATTGGTAGGGTTCAAAGACATGTAGACTTGTCTAAACCCTCTGGAGGCTTTCTCTGGCACCCAGGGAACAGTCTGGAGTGGTGTGGACCACCATGGTGCACCCCAGTAGTTGGTGTGGCCTCCTGGAGAAGAGTGGCCCAAGCTGGGCCTAGGGCTTCTGGAGGGCTGACGGGCAGCTGGGACGGCAGCCGAAAGAGCCTGTGGGGCTGGAAAGGAAGGAGGGAGCATGGCTGGAGGGGGCAGGAGGCTGTGGCTGCTTCCAGAGCAGGGAATGGGAACCCCAAGGGCCCTCCTCCAGAGAGGCCTCACCCTCAGGTGAGTTGGTATTTGGTCTCATCTTGTCTGTGGGGGCCCCAAAGGGGCTTTTCTTTTTTTCTTAAACAAGAGGTGTTTTCCTTCATTTTAATCACTACCTCTTCTCGTCACATATTAATAAAATTCCTCTCTAGTTTGTCTGCTCTCTACTGGGTGCTGTACTAGGCCCTGGATTTGAGGTTCAGACGCCACGGATGCTTTGTGCTCCCTTACTCCGAGGTTTCTGTTCACCACACTCTTCAAGGTGTCCCAGCACCACCTCTCACAACCACCCTGAGCTGAGCAGGGGCAGCTTAGAGGGGAGGCCCCCCCCTGTCCCCTCCCCCCCCCCCCGTTGTCCCAGATTTCATCTCAGGAGCCTCCCTCCAAAAATTGTACCTACACAGACCAGCTGCTTGGGAAGCGCTACCTGGGCGTGGTTCCATTTCTAGGAAACAATTAAGGAATGTACAAAGAAAGAGGTGTCCATTAACCTATTTTTATAACAGCAAAAAATTGGAAACAGTATCATGTTGAGTAATGGGCGACTGGTCACCATAAATTATGAACTATTCTGTATCTGCTTTGCAGCCACTAAAAGAACGGCATAGACATGCATAAGCTGACAGCAGAGATGGTCACTGTATATTGCTAACTGGAAGAAAGCAGATTACAAAACAGTATAATTCCTGTTTTACTAGATATGCATTTTCTCCTTTTCTACAGCGAGCACACATTCCTCGTGAAGTAATAATAGTAACTTTGATTTATTGAACTTTCTACCAGGTGCCTTGCTTGCTAAGCCCTCTATAGTCATTATCTCATTTGACCCTTCGTGTTATTAGCCCCATTTCACAGACAAGGAAATTAAAGCATAGAGGACTTGCTCAAGGCGTACTTCATAGTTATTAGTGGGAGCCAGAGGTTTGGACCAGATACGGTTTCATCCAGTCTGGACTTTTCTTATGCAGTGTGTGCTTCCTTGATGGTTCAGACCCAGCTACTTTTAGATACTGTGCTACCCTCCAGGGCAGTTATTCCAAAAAGTAAAACGAACAGAAAAGTAGATTTAAATTAATTTTGTTTAAAGATAGTTACTGTGAGACCACACACAAGGTATTATTAGGGACAAGAGGAGATTGGTGTTCCTTCTGTCCTCTGCATCTTAAAAGAGAAGCCTAGGCTCTTGGTGTCTTGGTTCCGGCTTAGAGACTTATCCTCTGCGGAGCCTTCTCAGCCTTTCCTTTGTCTTCCCATGTGCCCTGGGATAGATGCAATCTGGGCTTCAGTTTTATGAGTTGAGCAGTTGTATAATATATATCTGTAATGCTTGTATTATTGATGTCCATGTTGTTTTGTTGAGAAATTTCTAGAGGACAAGGGACATGTGAGATTAAATTGTTTTGTGGGGTGCTTAAGAGGTGTCAGGGTTGAATACACCTGCCTGGCCGAGGGGCTTCTCTGCACACCTGACTGCCTTGATTTTTCAACTGGTTTTGGCTCTGCTGGGCTCCCTTCCTCCCCCCTTTAAAATATCCTTTTAGCTCTCATAGCATAAGTGATACATACTGATTTTAGAAAATGGGTTAAGAATCATGAAAAAGAAATTGCCTCTAATCCCAGAAATAATTGCTATTAATATTTGATGTTTTTTCTATGCATGAATATATGCGTGCTTGTATATGTACATAATGCTGCTCAACTTGCTTTTTCACTTGATGTGTTACTGTTCATTTTTAAAAATAATAGCATGACTGAGATATAAGTCACATATCATAAAATTCACCTTTTTAAAATGTGCAAGTCATTGGTTTTTAGGATATTCACAGAACTGTGTAACCATCACCAACCACTGTCTAATTCCAGAACATTTTCATCAGCAGCAAAAGAAATCTTGTACATTCCGTGATCACTGCCCGCTGCCCCCTCTGTCCAGCTCTGGCAGCCACTAACTACTTTCTGCCCTGTGGATTTGTTTAGTCTGAACATACCATAGAAATGGAGTCATACAACGGGGAGCTTTTGGGGCTGGCGTCTTTCATTTAGCATGTTTTCAGGGTTCATCCATGTGGTGACGAGTGTCAATTCTTCGTTCCCTTTATGACTAAGTGGTGTGTTGCCCTGTGGACACACAACTCATTTTGCTCATCCACTTACAGTCGATTGGTTCCGCCATTTGCTATTGTGAGCGACGCTGCTCTGAGCATTCGTGTACAGGCTTTGTGTGGACATGCGACTTTCCCTGTCTTGGGTGGGTACCGAGGACTGGGGCCTCGCTGTTGAATTTTCCTGAGGAATTTCAGACAGTTATCGAAGTGGCTGTGCCTTTTTGCATTCTCGCCAGCAGGGTATATGGGTCCGTTTCTCCACATCCCTCCCCAACAGTTGCTACTGCCGACTTCCTAGTTAGAACCATCCTGGCAGGTATGATGTGGTATCTCGTTGTGGCTTCGATTCACATCTCCCTAATGACTGAACATCTTCACATGTTCTTTCTGGCCAGTCACAGATCTTCTTTGGAGAAATGTCTGTTCAGACCCTTTGCCCATATACAAATTGGATTGACTTTTCATCATTAAGTGTTAAAACCCCTGCTGACGCAAAAGTTAAAAGTAGGTCCTCCCTGGTTGCAAGGAGTTATTAGGCTCAGCACTATGACACTATCTGTAGCCACTGCAGCATGAGTTTGATCCCCACCCAGTGAGCTGACCCACATTGGCACAGCAGACCTCACCTGTCTCACTCACTGCTCCCCTCAGCAGTGTATTTCGTTGATCTGCCTGTTCTGTTCCCCACTCTGTCTCTGGTGAATCCTCTCACCCCCATACCTCTAGCCTATTTCCCAGTTTGTCTATGTAAAAGTAAAATCATTAAAAAAAAAAAAGTTAAAAATATACATATCCTGGATACAAGCCCCTTACCAGATTTGCAAATATTTTCTCCTATTCTGTGGGTTGTTTTTTCACCATGGTCTTTGCGTTTTAAGTTTTTGATGAAGTCCCAGTTTATCTATTTCTTTTCCCTTTCGTTCCTTATACTTATGGTCAAGTCTGTGAAATCATTGCCTAATCCAGAGTCACAAAGATTTACTTTCTGTTTTCCTCTAAGATATTTATCATTTTAGCTCTTACATTTATGTCTGTTTTGCTTCATGTATTGTTGAATATTTCCACATGAGGAAACACTTTTCTTTCTTAGAAGTAGAGTCACGTCAGAGATTGCATATTTTTGAGACTTGATACATGTTCCAGAACTGTGCCCCTCAACTCTGTCATTCCTCTCCCCCACCTGCCTGTCTCCCGCTGCTCTGGCTCAGGCCTCTGCCACTCCTTGCCTTGCAGGTTCCAGTAGCCTCCTACCCGTGCTCAGGGCTGTCAGTGGGGTGTGACAGATATAGTGGCATCATGGTTGTGGGTGCTGTGACAGACCAGCACAGGGGTATTGACCCATGCGGTGAGTTGGAGTGAAATGAACGGATGTAGAAAGAGCTTAGAATGGTGCCTGACATGTGATTCTTTGCTGTGTTTGTTCTGGTTTTCTTGGGGATGGGAAAGAGGAATGTGAAATTCGGAGGTTTGTGATTCAGGACAAGGTGGATTTGCTGGCTTCCCTGGGGTTCTGCTGTCTTAGAGTGTGTGTGGGACACTGAACCAGTGAATCTTCAGTGCCTGAGGGGCAGTGGCCAGAGGCCTGGAGATGTCAGCAGCCTGAGGAGGCGTCAGGGTTGACTGGGATGGTGAAATGAGCATAAAAGAAACAGGGGCTTTTACAAGAGGGCGGAGGAATGGTGATCCGGATGTGGCAATAAATAACAACAGCCACAGCAATTACTTTTATTACTCTGGAAAGGGCAATGGGGAGCAAGAAGAACCCAGGTCTTTCTTCTCTTCTCGAGTCCATGCTTCACTTTGCAGCCATGTGTTCATTCATTCAGCACATTTTTACTGAGTGTCTCCACGGGGCCGCTGTGGTGCCGGGCCCTGGATGTGGTGCTGAACACGACAGACCTGGTTCCTGTCTTCACAGAGCCTGCTGGCTAAGGGGGGGGGGGGGCGCAGGCAGTAAGCAAATGATGGTGCAGTCCGTCAGTCAGTCCAGATTATACCATGTCATCCCCCAGTTCCAGAATTTTCATTCCTTCTTCACTGCTACAGAATAAAATGCTGACTCCTGAGCACGGAGGTGCTGTGGGATTGGGCATTCCGCCCTCGGCAGCTCTCCTGAGCACTGCTGCCCTTCACCCAGGCTCCTAACTCCTCCCCGACTGGCTCAGCTCGCTGTGGCTCAGGCCTCCTGGAACTTCTCCATCCCCGCTGCCCTGCAAACGCCCTCACCCCCTGCAGGCTGATCACTGTTGCCATGTTGCTGGGTGCCGTGGACTTCTCTGTTTATAGTATCATGCATGGAATCAGCGGGGCACGGTGGCTCCAGGGAGGCGGTCACGGCAGACTCGGAGTTATTGTGGGCACTGAGGGTGGGCACTGAGCGGAGTGGGAGATACCTTGGATAGATGTGTGTAGAAGAGCACCTGGTGGCTTAGGGGGGAAGTGTTGAGTGTCTGGCTGGACTGGGCCTCCCTCCACCCCCTTCTAAGGGGCACTGAAAAGCTTGGGCTTCTGCGAGTGGGTGAAAGGTGCCAGTGAAATCTGTGGCGAAGGAGAGGATAGGTCAGAGGGCAGAGCTGTCAGAGGGCAGAGCTCCTCTCCTGGAGATGCATGGTTGGGCCGCTGATGGATGGGGCTGGCCTGACTGTGGGTGGCTGCCAGCAAGATGACCTCCCATGGCTGCCTTCTCTGTATTTGCAATCAGGCCCAAAGCCCCTTCCTGGTACTGACATGTTACAGAGGATCCCCTCCTCGCCCGCCAGGCTGTGGGAGAGGAGTCTGGGTTCAGACAGCTGCACAGACGTCTCCTCAGAGCAGGTGCTAGAAAGCCAGCTCAACCTGAGCTCTAATGGTCGCTGTTGATGACCTGCCGTAAGGCTGCCATAGCCTTGTAGTTACCGCGGTGAGGACAGGCTGGGCCCTGGTAAACTCAGTTGTGGCCTTTCTGTCAGAAGAGTGGGCGCAAAAGAGCTCCCCTGGCAGTGGGCAGGGAGAAGACACCAGGCTGAGAGATGGAGGAGGATGTTTGGAGCTGCCTGAGTTATAGCCTGCAATCATCTTCCTCGTCAGAGGCCAGGCCCAGCCTCAGGGGAGCCTGGGGGGCTGTGGGGGCCAGGGACTATGTGCTGGCTGCTGCTCTAGGCTGAGTTGTACCCCAGCCCGGGATCCCACGGGTGCGGGCAGTTAATCTCGAAAGGCCGGAGTCCCCGCTGCTGGAGAGCAGGGACGTTATGAACTTCTCAATCATGTTAATTTCCGCAGGAAATTGTTGTCTTCCTTTTGTCCAAAGGTTAGTGATTTATATTTACCATCCTCTTAACTAGCCTTGAAATTTACTGTTGCCAGGTCACCACCAGCATCCATAAATCTCAGGGTGGCAGCTAAGCACAGTCAAGTGACTTGATCCTTGGAAGGGTGCAGGCCGGCCTGGCCTTTCAGGAGGGCAGGTAACTAGCTGCTGCAGACAGCCCCTGGGGGGGGGATGGGCTTGCTGGCATGGCAGGGGGGTGTGAGGAGCCTGGCAGAGCTGCGGGTCTCCCGAAGCTGCCCTGCAGGAGGCGATGGTCGAGCCTCAGTACAGCCTCAGTAGCTCCCGAAAGGAGACTGAGAGGAGACCGGCTTCTGGCTGACAGGAGAACTGGCTTGTGGCTGCCGACAGGCTGGCGGCACAGGAGGGATCTAGCATCCGGAGCTGGCAGAGGGCTCAGGTTTCCAGCTCTACACTTCCTGCGGCGGTTTCTTCTATTGTTACAACGAGGATTAAATCTCAGTAAATACCGGTCTTTACTGATTTTCTGGCAGAATGGGGTGGGTGATTGGTCTGGGGCCTTGGAATCAGCCAGCTCCACTCTCCAGCTTAAACTTTCCTACCCATTTCTCTGCTTAAGACCTTCCAGCCTGTGCTCCCGATAGGAGAACAGGGACTTATTCTGTCAAGGACCAGTCAAGTGACTGGCTTTGTGAAGCTTTTGCTCTCTGTTACAACTCTTCAGTTCTGTTTTACCATAGAGCCAGAAGAAGCCCTGCGGGACCCTGAGGCACAGGGCCTGGGTTGGACCCAGGGCGGCCCTGGTTGCAGCCACAGTGGTGCTGATTCTGGATCGGTCAGCACCCTGTTCCGCATCCCCACTCCAGTTCTGAGAACCCCACCTTGTCTGTGTTTCAGAGAACAGCCCCAACCACGATGGGAAGGAAGCAGGGGCCCGCCTGCCTTTGGTGATTCTCTTGGGCTGGGGTGGCTGTTCGGACAAGAACCTTGCCAAGTACAGTGCCATCTACCACAAAAGGGTGAGTACTGCAGTGCCCTGGGGGCCCTTCCTCCGGTGGCCGCTCCGGAGGGGACTTGGAGCCGTGGTCACCCTTCTCTGGCCTGCAGTGAAGGCTGACTGCCAGTGTGGCAGGCATGGGCATGGCACCAGGAATGGCCTGTGAGGAAGATGATGGGGCATGGGGACTTTGGCCGGGGTGTCCCCCGTATGCAGCCAGCTGTGTGGCCTGGTCTGCCCCCTTCCCCTCACGACTGGTCTCCCCTCTCTTGCTTCTCAAACCCACAGAGGACATGTCGCCTGTCCCTGATGTGCTCCCATCTGTGCAGTAAGCTCTGACTGCAAGCCTGCTGTTGGGGTGCAGCCTCTGTGGGCAGCAGGAGCCTGGGCTGGGTGTGCTGGCCCAGTCTGTGCTCTCGGAGCTTCCTCCTTTCCTGCCAGATTAGTCTGTCTTGGGGTTGACCATGGCACTTTTCACATTCCCAGAATAGATTCTCTTGGAAAAGAGGTGTAGACTTGAGGTTTTCCTACTTCTTCTTAGGCTATATCAAGACTTGGATGTAGAGGTTGTGGTGATTGGAGAGAGCCTTGGATGGGCCTGTTTGGATCTTGGAAACCCCTCTCACTTCTTTGCCCTCTGGCCTGGGCCTGCCCTGCCCTCCTGTGCCCACGGCTCCCGAAGCAGGGAGAGATAGCAGTGCAGGTCGTGCCAGCTGCTAACTGGAGGGCTTCCACTGAGGAGGGGCGGTCACCTGGGAGGAAGGCCGGCTGCGGCCCCGCCTCAGCCTCTCTCCACTGACCCACCTCTCCACTGCGCCTGAGACATGGGGGGCCCTGGATGGGAGAGGGTTGGGGCAAGCCTCCCTGCAGCCACCAAGGCTGCTTCTCTGGCACAGCCTTTTCTAGATTGCTTTACTCTGCAAGTATTTCAGCTACGTCTGAATTCCACTTGCTGGCCTAGACTTGCTTGCGGGCAGGCAGAGGAATAGGTGAGTGTGGCTAGAACAGAATGAAAGAAAGGGCCAGTGGCAAGACATGGGGCTTGGGGGATCCAAGAAGGGGTGTGAATTTACCTTTGTGCTTTCCAAATCCCCCCCTGAAGAGTTTTCAAGGATGAGAAGGGTGAGGAGGAGGGGCCTAGGGAGTGAGTTTGTTGCCGTGGCCAGGACTGGGGCTGGTGGTGCCGGGCAGGGGAGTCTGTGGAGCTGGGCGCTTGTTAGGAGGTAAACGGGTGACTAGTGAGAGCTGGGCGAGGGCACGGACTGGAGGGGTCCAGGGTGCTGATTGCAGTTCTAGTGGGGGCGTGTGTTTGAGGCAAGGTGCTGGAAGAGAAGCTCCTTGGGTGGATGAGGCTCCCCAGGCAGCGTGGAGGTGGGCATGGAGGAGAGGGCCTGGCACAGAGCTCTGAGGAGTCTGGGCGTGAGGAGGGAAGATGAAGAGGAGCCTGGGAGGAAGGCGGAGTGGCCAGAGATGGAAGGAAAACTGAGAGAACATCTGAATCCCCAGAAAGCATCTTTGAAATGCTGGAGAGGGAGCAAGGAAAGATGTTAGGGAGAGTCTTCCCAGGAAGGCAAGGAGGTTGGGCGGCAGGGCTGTGACGGTCACTCTGGTTGGGATCAGGATGGGTGTGGAGATTTTTTTTCCAACCCTAAACTTCTGGTATTAGAAGATGAAAACACCTGCTCCCACCCCTGCCGCATGTGCACTTTGGTGCACTGCCTCCTTTCGGAGGTCCCCTCCCCCGCCTTCGCTTTACCTGAGTGAGAGCTGCTGAATGTACAGCTTTCTGTCCTGCTGCTTCTTGGATCCCGGTCTCCGTCTTCCCGTATTAATGCATTTTCATCTCATCTGGTTTCCACCATATTCAGCTCCACAGCTACTTCCCAAAGTGGCCTTCATAGCGGTTTTGTCCCAAAAGGATCTGATCTCAGAATACACATTGTTCCTTAAACCTCTTTTAAATCTTTTAAATATCTTTTACGTGGTCCCAACTTATTGAAGAGCCCCAGCTATGAGAGTATTTCTAGTAGTACATGACCCAGGGTTGGAACAGGACAGACTGACAGGTGTCGGGGCGCTGACCATTCGGGAGGTTGCAGGCGACCTTGGTAATAGCAGGGTGGTTGTCGGGACTGGAGTCCAGGGGGTTGTGTGTCCCATTTGTCTAGCAAGAGAGGGAGCATGGCAGGGTGTGGTGCACCGTCAGAGGCTGTGGAAAGAGGCTCAGTGGGTTAGAGCAAGATCCTGGAGAGAGGAAGGGCCTGAGAATACAGGAGAGGGAGGTGAGGACCGACAGGGCTCAGCGACGTGGGATCGAGCGTGAGATGGTGAGGGCTGTCTTCAGGGGCCGGGGGAGACTGGGCTCTGGCATGCAGTGAGACCCAGGGCCTCGGCACAGGGACTTCTAGGGAGAGAGCCTAGCACAGCAGAAACCTGACCGTGGATGCAGGGAAGCTTCGTGTGTGTGCCTGCAGGGGTGTTGGGCATGGCATTCCAGGGTGAGCGCTGTGCGTGTCCTCACAGCCGCACACCATGTGTGCCCACACAGTGCGCCCATAGGAACTGCTGGCTGTACCCACAGGTAACTCTGCTCCCGGGGAGTGCGTGTGTGCACACATGTGTGTGGCGTCCTTGCAGGGCAACATTTGAGTGAACCCGCCATGGTGTATGTGCCTGTGTCTGTGTGCTCATGGGGGCGTGGCGTGTGGCACTGCTAGTCAGTGGTGGGAACTGTGTGTGTATGTGGGCTTGAGGTGGGGGAATGGAGCTTGTGTGCGCTGGTGACGTGGGAATGTGTGCGGCGGGGGTCGGTTGGGGATGGGAGACTTCACGTTTTCTTGGGGAGTCAGAACAGAGCAATTTGTGTACTTTCCCAGAGCTAAGCGATCAGGTGGCATCAGGGAGGATCTCCTCGGGGGGGGGGGTGCTAGGGCTCACCAGGGCCTCAGTAAGGGTCACAGTGCCAGCAGGCACTCGGCAGATGTCAGACTAGAGAGAAGGAGGGACAGAGCCTGGGGGCCGAGGACTGTGGCCATGCAAGTAGTGTGCCTGTATGATCTTTTGGTTGTTCTACCACCACTCATGGTTACTTCTATTTAATAGTTTACTTTGGGGCAGGTATGATTTTGGACACTTGAGATACTTTTTTTTTTTCATTCTGTTTTCACTGTAACTCTATGGGGTGGATGTTACCCCACTTTACAGATGGAGACACAGCCTCATCAGAAAGATGAGGTGATTGCTTTTTATCCTGGTGGTGTCAGGAGCTGAACCTAGACTGGCCCCAGCTGCCCTGCTCAGCTTCTCCTCACATCGGGGCCTCTGTCTCTGAACAGGTTCCTGAGGAGGGTTAGAACTGAGGTAGCGTGGCGTTGGCTGCCCTTTCTGGCTGGCCTAGAAGGGGATCCATCCAGAGAAGTGGAAGTGTACTTGACCCAGTATTGAGGGATCGAGTAGCGAGTTTGGCTCAGATTTTAGGATTTGAGGAACAACATCTTTGAGTAGAGTTTGAATTCAGGCAAGTGGGAAGAGTGATCCCAGGCCTTGGAACCAGCCAGATTTGGGTGCCAGACCGCAGCTGCTAGAGAGTAAGACTCTTTGGCCCAGAAGCTGCTCAGGACTGTGTGGGAAGACGGCAGAGGCCAGACTGACCTGAGTCAGTCTGCCTCACGAGTGGCCTCTGGTGGTCAAGGCTGGGCCTGCCGGCTTTCTGAGGTGCTAGGTCTTGCAGGGGTACCTGCTCGTGCCTGGGAGGCAGGAATCAATGCAGAGCAAAGTTGCTGAAACACAGTCTACCTGATTAGCAAGGTTTTGTTTGTAGTGGATTTGAGCAGATGAGGGTGCAAGGTCAGGCAGGAGATGGAGACACAGAGAGGAGACTTCTTTGGTCAAGCCTGGAAGTTTCCAAAGCATGCTCAGGGCTCCAGATCTCACATACCACCCCAGGGTGAGGCGCTTGACCAGCATGAAGTGATTAGCCCACAGATGGGCTCTGAATCTACCTTGCACACCAGCAGGCTTCATGTCTGAGTAGTGAGGTGGCATCCAGGCCGCAGCAGGTAGGTCCTGGAGTGCTCTGAGCTTCTGGGCCCCTCTGACCGTAGCACCACGCGCACCCCATCCCTGAGGACCGACCAGGGCTCTCTCCTCTCCTCAGGGCTGCATCGTGATCCGATACACAGCCCCATGGCACATGGTCTTCTTCTCCGAGTCCCTGGGCATCCCTTCACTTCGTGTTTTGGCTCAGAAGCTGCTTGAGCTACTCTTTGACTATGAGGTTGAGAAGGAGCCCCTGCTCTTCCATGTCTTCAGCAACGCCGGCGTCATGCTGTACCGATACGTGCTGGAGCTCCTGCACACCCATCAGCGCTTCTGCCAGCTGCGCGTGGTGGGCACCGTCTTTGACAGCGGCCCTGGTAACAGCAACCTGGCGGGGGCTCTGCGGGCCCTGGCAGCTGTCCTGGAGCACCGGCCCGCCATGCTGCGCCTGCTGCTCCTGGTGGCCTTTGCCCTGGTGGCAGTCCTGTTCCATGTCCTGTTGGCTCCACTCACTGCCCTTTTCCACACCCACTTCTACGACAGGCTCCTTGATGCAGCCTCTCGCTGGCCCGAGCTATACCTCTATTCGAGGGCTGATGACGTGGTCCTGGCCAAAGACGTGGAACGCATGGTGGAAGCACGCCTGGCACTCCGAGTCCCGGTGCGCTCCGTGGACTTTGTCTCATCTGCACACGTCAGCCACCTCCGTGACTACCCCATTTACTACACGAGCCTCTGTGTCAACTTCATGCGCAGCTGTGTCCACTCCTGAGGTCCTTTCCCGCTCGCCTCACCTCTGCTCCAGAAATAAACACCCTGGCATCTCCCCACAACTTACATCATAGGGGAGTCCTCATCTGGTTCACTCCCCTGTAGCCCCTTGGGGCCCTGTGTCCCCAAGTAGAGAATTCTCAGGGGCCTCTGTCCTGAGGCCTGTGGTAGTCTGACGAACCCAGGGGTGGTCGCGCCTGTGTGTTTTTGTCAAGCTGTTTGGTGATTCCTGTGGCATTAGGCTGAAAAGGGGCAACAAAGTGGGTGTGGAGTATTGAGGATGAGCCCCAGGGTTGAGCTTAGATTTCTTGAAAGCAAGATGAGCTTTGTGGGGAGGTGCCAGGGGTTGGGCCAAGTTGGGACTGCCCCACAGTGTGAAGCACCACTGGGTCTTCACTCAGAGGGGCTCCCCTGACCTCATGGCAGGGGGTTGAGGGAGAAGTCAGAAGGGGAGAGCTGACAATGCAGGGGTGAGGGCCCCGCCCACCTCAGTTTGCCAGGAAGCCATTCGATCCAGGAAAGTAGCAAGATGTGTGATGGGCAGATGGAGCAAGATCATGAAGGCAGCAGTGCCACATGGGAACTGGGTCTGGCAGGCACCCTAAAGAACAGAACCAGGGCAAAGGTCCATTAGGCTAAAACAAGCTTAGCTTATCCATCTCCTTGAAGGAGAGCCACGTGGATCCTCTCTAAGCAGAAGTGGTTTCAGCCTCTTAGTTCTGTACCATTCTGCAAGACGACAATGATGGCACCTAGTAGGTACTCAATAAAATCTGTTGCTTGAATAAATGAGCTTACTGTGGTGGTCAAGGGCATTGGGGACACGGATAGACTTTGAAAGTTTGGCAGCGAAGGCAATGGCTGGGTAACTGGTATTTGGGATAGCTCTGACATGCCCAGAGCTAATGGCACCTGTCTCGAGAGCCCAGCTTTGTGCGTCGTGTCACTTGTCAGCCTTCTGGGACTTCGGCTTCTGCAGCCTGTTTGAAATCTACGTGGCTGCATTCCTAGCTGTGGCCAACAGGTGGCAGTGTCGCCTGTGCCACGAGACAGATCTGGCCTAACGCTGCAGGCTTGGTGCCCTCACTCTGGGTTAATGTCCCTATTAGAGAGCATATGGCTTCCAGGGTGGGGTAACCAGGCTGACGGTCTTAGGCAGGGAGGGAGGTGAGACTTAAGAGGGGCCAGTCCTGTAGAACTGGGCACTGCCCATGTCTCTCCTGAAGCCTTGTAACACATAGGTGCCCCACCAAACATGTCACCTGTGTGCCTTAGAACTTTCTGTCCCAGGATACTTGAGTTCAGGATATTTGGTGTTATCCAGGTGGGCATGGGCGTGAAGGAATCTGGCTGGGTTCTAACCAGTGCTTGGTGATTTGTCACCTGGGTGCTGGCCATCAATGGCAGTGAATCCGATTTGGTGGAGGACACTAGCTGTCTAGAGATAGGTGGATTTAAGTGACTGGGGAGGATGGAGGATGGGTCCAGCATATGAGAACATGCAGAGCCTGGTGTCATGGAGACACTCTGGGCCTTGAATTGTAGCTGAATCTCATTTCTGTGGTGGGTGAGGCTTGACTGATCTGCAGCTTTGAGCACTACCAGAGTGCCTGGGGAGGCGGCTTACTTGCTGGCAGTGAGCACCCGCAGGGATGCTCATCTCACAAAGTGCCATCTCCAGCAGTACCCAGCCTCAGTTCCTTGACTTGAAGACCCTTCCTAGATAATAGGGGTCCCTACTGTTTGAGGATCCAGCCAATAGCTATATCAGGCTGTTGGTTGCTAGGATAGAGAATGGAAAAAAGCCACGGGGGTGTGTTCCATTTTTAGTTTCTGGCTCATTTCAGGGGACTAGAAAGGCACAGAGGCACAGGGCTTATTTTTTCATCCAAGGTTATCCTGCCTCTGCACTAGATTGGGGGACAGAATGCACATCCCCTCTGTACCCCCAAGCTCTGACCTCTTATGTGATTAATGAGCTGACGATTCTGCATCGATAAGGAATTAACCTGGAGCCCCTACCCATCAATAGCCAGGAATCCAGGTCCCTAGCCCACCCCCACTCATAACGGAGTGCTCCAGGGCCCCTGAGCAGATCAAACCTGCACTGCTTCTGCACCCACAATCCAGTCCCTTCCCATTCACTGCTGCCAGGAATTCACCCCTTGATGGCCTCTGTCCACACCACTGCATCACTCCTAAGTATGCTTGCACACATATTCTCTCTCACACACACGCACGCACGCACACAGAGGCAGCAGCTGTTTATATTGGTTTTAATCCATGTCAAATGTAGTTTACAAAGGGAAAGGACAAGTACCTTTGTATAGAATATACAGACACAGCATCACACCATTGGGCCCACAGGAGGGGCGGGGGAGACACATTTTCCCCTGGGAACAGCAGCCCCAGTCCCAGGAATGGTTTTCAGCAGAAGGCTGGGCCACCAGGAACACCCTCATCCAGCCCAATCAGCCCCTGCTTCAGCTCGGTTCCCATTTCCTATGCCTCTCCCCCTTCCTGACTCCTTATAAAGAGCCCCAGGAGCTACAACTAAGGAGAGGATCATGTTCCTGGGAGCATGTGCCCCATGTCTGGGAGAAGAAATATACACCACTGAACACCGAGCACATGGGAGAAGGAAGGGACACGGTGGGAGAGGGAGAGGTAGGCACCCCAAGAGGTGGATGGGCCGAGCCCCCAACCAGCCCTGGAGGCACTGCTTCCAGCTGTTCTTAAAAAAAAAAAAGAAAATCATATAACCAAAGAGGAAGGGGTGGGGCAGAGGGAGAGTTGTCCCATTTATACACAACATTGTAAACATACACCGTCTATATTACATGTGCTTCAGTCTGGTGGTTGCATGTCTGTCGGTCGGTCAGTCTGTCAGTCTGGGGGGCTGGATCTCGGTGCCTTGCCCAGTTACTCCACCTGCCCACCTCCCTGTCCCATCCTGGGAACAGAACTGGGGAAAGGTAGAGTCCCCAGTCTTGGGGAGAGTCCAGCAGGCAGGGCCTGGGCCTTGGCCTCCATTCTGGTTCCAGAGTCCTGTGTGTGCGTGCGTGCGTGTGTGCATGTATGTACAGGGGAGATCTGTGTGCAAGTATGTACAAAGGGAAGGGTCACGTCACAGAGGCAGGGCAGGAGGGTGGCTGGAGGCAAGGCCTGCCCGGTGGCTAGCTCACAAGTAGATTCTCCGCAGGTCTCCAGGCGCCGTGATGGTGTTGCACTGGGGGCAGAGCTTCTTGGCACCCTGTGGGGAGGACAGGGAGGGCTTTGGTTATACACGCTGTCCGGCACATTTGCTCACGCGAGCGCCTGGGCCTGGAGCCATATCGCCCTGTACCAGTTGCGTGCTGGGACCTTGGTGCTATCAGCCTGGGCTTGGGATGCCCGGGCGGCCTCTGTGAGCAGACAGGCACGCTCCTGTGTTGGGGGGATGCCAGGATCAAACCGCCTGGCCAGCCCCGCAGCAGGAGCCCCGGTAATGAGAACAAGGCTGGGTCCAGCTGTGGCTGCCGAGGCCCTAACGAGATTACATGCGGCCTTTGATCAGGACACAGAGCCCACGTCCGGGCCTTTTATTGCTGTCTCCGGGCGACATTTTAATGGCTGCTCCTGAGCGAAGAACAGGGGCAGAAGCAGAAGGAGCTTAGTAATGGGAGGGGGAGGGGCTGAGGCCTGGTCCTGCTTACCCACACCCAGCCTCCTCCTGACCCAGGATCTCACCCATCTGTGATACAGTGGGCCTTCCTGGGGTGGGGCCGGGGGAAAGGCACAGGCAATGAACCCTTGGAGGGGGAGGATTTTAATAAACCTGGGATGGGGACAGAGAGAATATAGAGAGCTGGTGGCAGGGTGTGTGTGTGCGTGTGTGTTGAAAATCCTGGTGTCTTGCTATGTTCTATGCTCCTGTTTCTTCCTGCTCCTCTCTTTTTCCCCCTTCCTCCCCAAGCAGGCTCAAGCATAACATGGATATCTGGGCAGTACCCAACAGCCACACATGCCCCAAACCCCATGCCACCTCACCAGGGTCCGCAGCCAGCATTCCTCACAGTGCACATGCCAACACTGGATGGACGTCAGGGGCATCGAGTATGAATCCTAGGGAGGAGGTGGCAGAAGTCACTCTGAGGCTGGCCCACCCTCTGCAGAGCCCATCACAGTGCTGAGGTCTCCTCCAGCCCCCAGGGGGCAGTGAAGCCCAGCCAAGGGTATCCCTGGGCTCCCTTCCTCTCACCATGCAGATGAGGCATTTGTACCGGTCCCCACGGGATAGCTGCCGTTCAAGTTCCCTGACCCGAGCCTTCAGGGCCTCAAACGTGGTCACAGCTGAATCTTCGGTGATTCTGTAAAGATGATGGTATAGTTAGACAAGTAACAACCAGGCTGGCATCTCTAATTTGAATCCCCAATCCACACCTCCCGAGTTCCAAACCACCTATAGAAATGTCTTCCCAGACATGCCCACCCATACCCTGTATCTGCAAACTCCACATTCCAGAACTAAGCTCCTTGCCTTCCTTGTTCCCCCACTTCCACCATGGTGAATTCTAAGCCATATGCCTCAAACCATTCCTTCCTAGTTACCCCAAACACCACAGCCTGTTGTCTATTTCCTAGTATCTCTGGACGCTGCGTCTCCCCACTTCGACCCCCACTACAGTCCTATGAATCACTTGACTAACCTAACAGTATTAGTCCCCTCATCTCCATTCCATTCTCCCAGGGCCTAGAATTCTGTAAATCTGACCATTTCTTTTTCTTTCTTTTTTCTTTTTTAAAAAGGTTTATAGGAAAAGAATGAAGAAAGCAAGGCACCTCATAGTCACAGGTGGGCAAGAGAGCTGCTGTTCCTGTTTTACAAAGGGAAAAGGTTTATGAAAGCAAACACCTACATAGTCAAAGGCATGCCCGGAGAGCTGCCAAATTTTAAACATCTACACACTTAACATTTCAGTATATCCAGCTCAGAGTCAAGTGCTCCTGAATCATAAGGCCGTCCCTGGTCTAGCCGCAACACCCACTGTATCCTTACGCTCCGCCCACACCACACTGAGTTTTTTCATCCACACCATTTTTCATTTCTGTGAACTCTCAGGACTGGTTGCTTCCTCCAGGTCACCCCTACTCCTAACTCACCCTTCATCTCGCCCTAGTCCCCTCCTCCCAGCTTCCAGGCAGAGCCACCGACGGCGGTGGCCTCTGCTGTGCTCTCCCGGCATCCTGCACTGGACTCCACCACAGCAGAAAAACTGCAAATGTCTGTCTCCTCTGCCGGACTTAACTTCCCCGAGGGCAAGCTGCTCACTCTACCAGCGCTAACCAGGGGCATCAGCCCTACCAGGTACTGAGTGAATGACGAGCTGTCCGACCCAATGGGAGCGAGAGACTGGGACTAGATGAGCTCCACACTAACTAGGCCCCTGGGCCACAGGCCCAGCCTACCTCAACAGCTCCTCGCTTCTTCCCAGGCAGATCCCGGTAGTCCTCACCTCTTATCCCAGCCCCGCACAAGCTCCCTACAACTTCTCAGAGATTCTTTGGGCTACAGTGCTGACCGGGGAATAGCTAGCATTATCTCAAGGAGTGGCCTCCCACTCTGCCTAAAGCAAGTAAACAGAAGACAGAGATGCTCACAGAGGGAGAAGAATGCTTTCTGGAGGAAGAGAAAAGACAGGGCTAGCGACAGACCACAGGAAATAATAATGATAATACAAATAAAACAGCTCAAATTTATGAAGTGCTTAGTCAATGCCAGAGATAGTGCTGAGAGCTTGGTAGTTACTATCTTATTGACACCTTACAGGAAGCCCATGAAAAGATTCTACTACTCCCACTTTACATATGAAGAAACTCAAAACAGAGAACATTAAGTGTCTTGCTCTAGGTTCATGCTGACTGGGGGAGATGGGACCCGGCACAAACAGACTAGTTCCGTGATCAGTCATAACGGTGTGACTAGCCATGACTCTGTACTGGTTATATCCAGGAGACAGGTGTCCAGGCCGAGGAAACAGGAGGAATGATCAAAGACCAAGAAGCTCAAGAGCCCTAACTGGCTGAAGGGGGAGGGGAATGTATCCAGGTGGGCCTCAGATGCCAGTTAGAAACTGAAGCTTATCTTAAAGGACAGGAAGTTAATGAGGATGGTGTTAGAGGGCTGTGACGGAAAGAGAGCTGAGGTTCAGCCAGGATGCAAAGGGGGCGCTGAAGTGGAATCGCAAGTGTGGCTATACAGCACGGACCAGCTCCTATGGCAGCTCCTTCTGCCAGCTTAGGGGACAACTGGCTCAGAAAGGTCATCTGTCTCTCCTGGGCCTCAGAATTGTGAGGAGAGAGATGGGCAACATTCCAGGCAACAAGTACATTTTGGTTTTTACCTTTCTCTCCTAGGATACATGCCCCAACACAGAATGCGGCTTCATGACCCGGGTCCCTTTTACAGGATGCTCTAGATCCATCACCCCACGGGACGCAGCTTGCCTCTCTCCAGGGCAGCTGCGAGTGCCATGCAACTTTCCAGCTCTGGAAGCTGTCACCATCTTCTCCTCAGAAGCACCAACAGCACTAACTCCTCCCCTGGCATCGTGCCCAAGGCCTTATGCGCCACTCCCATCTGGACTGTGGGTAAATCTCTGACGAGGGGCTAAGCATGTGCAGCCTCTTCTCTGAGGTCCAGGCTGAGCATTTGCCTGGCTCTATGTGGTGATTTCAAGGACAGGAAACCTAAGGCCTGGCATAAGGGCGGAAAGTAAACTGTCAAACCTTAAATCAGAAAATGAGCTAGAGCTAGAAAGGTAACAAGGATGGTCAGGAGAGAATGACACGGCTTCTTGCTCCTACTCCAAGAGCTCCCAGGCCACCTTCCCGCCTCGGAGCCACCCTCTTCTAGATTGCTTAGCACACACCTGGGCTCTCATCTTTACTCTGGTAAAATATCCAAGGCTCTTGACCCTGACCCAGGTTGGTTGTGAGCTACCTCTCCAGGGTAAGGGGTCAGGAATTTGCTGGGAAAAACCATAGTATCCTGCCTTCCTTCTTCCCTGGGTTATGGAAAGGGTCTAGGGTCAAACCATACTATGTACCATGAAGAGAGAAGTTATGGGGCCCAAAGATCGTGGCAGAGCTAGACCCAACGGAGAGCTCTGTACATCACTGGCTAGCCCCCAACTTGTCCCAGAGAGCCCCGCCTACTGGTGCTGTGCTCACACAGGTGGGACAGAAATCCTGGATCCCCCCCACCCTGGGTGGGTAGTACCTTCATGGATGGCCACTGGCTCTGGCCCCCACCTCCCGGTTAGGCGCCATCCCTGATTAATGATCTTGTCTGTCTGATTTATGAGTAGCCCCTCCAGACGAGGGTGGGCGCCCCTATGGCCCCGCCCGCCCCGCTCAGCTGGAGTAGGAGAGAATTATTAAATAAACATCCATACGTCATTCCTTCCCCCCCTCCAAACTGGTTGCACCGAATCCGAGCGGCCCGCTTCGGCGCTGACACGGAGCAGCTGCGGTGATTCATGGGCAGCCGGGCCCTGCGCCGCGGCCCATACATCATGCCAGCAGCACTCGCGGCCCCGGCCGAGATAAACTGATCAACCACAACGGGCTGGAATGAATTTATGACAACACAAAATGGAGGGAAACAAATGGGAGGTGACCCTGGGCCACCGACCTGGCCCTGCACTGGCCTGCAATCCACTCTCCTGGCAGGAGGCAAGATGGAACACTGGCCCTGGAATGAAGAGGCTGCCTTTCAACCCCAGGGAACCTGGTCTCCAGTGGAGGGAGGAGAGGGTGTGGGGAGTTAAGCAATGGCCAATGGCAATTGGTCCAGGCTGCCAGACCTGGACAATGCTACCTCTTGGGGCCAGAAACCTCCTTGCTTGGGCTTCTGGAACAGCAATAAGATGCACAACCGACTTTAAGTCCGTGTGGCTCTTGGGGTATCCAGGCCAGGGGTCACCCAGCTTTGGGTAAAGTGCTAATGGATCCCTTTTTATCCTGCCAGAAAAGCTAGGCCAAAGATTCCTACTAGAAGTGATAAGACCCAATGCTCCTGCCTAAAACCCACTGCAAGCGCCACCCGGGACAAGAAAAATGAAACCAATTTAGCTCCCGATTAAGAAACAGAAACTGGAGATGAATCAAATGCGCTGGCTGGGCTGGGCGGCCATACATCACATTCCCCGGGCGGAGGCCGCCGCAGCGGGCAGGCGGGTGGGCAGGCAGGCAGCCCGCCCGACTGCTCCTCCCTCCGCCAAGGCTCCTGGGGCTGTGGCCCAACGATCAATTCACAGAGTCATGCTTAGCACCAGCTGGGCCCCACTGCCGGTCATGTGCCAGGGCTGCGAGACTCAGTGTGCTCTGGAGGGCAGGCGCCTGGGCAGCAGGCTGTTTGCAAAGGGCCCCCGCCCGGCCCAGCACTCACTTCTCAATGTCACTGTTCTTGCAAGTCTTCTGCATGGCTTCCTGCTTGCTGCTCTCACCGTTGCTGGTAGATGGCATCTCTGCTGGGACAGAGAGGCAACTCATACTCTGGCCAGACTGGGCTTGAGTCAGTCACCACCACCCAAGAGGTGTCTCCTTCTCCCATACTGCTCCTGACCTGAGTAAGAACTCACCGTCACTGGCCCATTTAGAGAACTCAGGTGTGATGCGTGTGCTGGGAGGGCCGCCACTACAAGGAAGGAAGGAGGAAGAACAAGATGAGCTCCAGCAGGCAGGACAGGCCCGAGGGTGGTTAACCCCTGCCCTGGGCTTGCCTTGCCTCCACCCACCCAACCAAGCTTCTTCCCACACTTGCTTTAGGACTGCACCCCGCAGTGCCTCTCTCTCCTTGGCTTCACCAGGCTCCTCGCCTGTGCAGGGGATGACGTCAGCTTCCGTGTATCTGGCACCGTGGTCAAGGACAATGCATCTGAGTTTGTGGGAGGCCACGAGAGCTGAATCCTTGGAAGGGCTTCCCTGGCCACAGTGTGGGCACACCGGCCAGGGACGCTAGCTACTTTGCTAATTCCCGTTAGCCTTCCCCATCAGCCCAGCCTTGCCCACAATGCCCCAAGGATACTGGGGCTTTCCGTACTCCAGCGTGTCATCCCCATCCACGTCCAAGTCCGCATCACTGTCCGGGTTCTCTTTGCCGCTGCACATGACAAAGCCAGAGCCTGTGGGAAACAGGAAGTGAGGGTGGCCAGGGGTCAACCAGACTAGGTTAAGGGTGCCCTTTCTGTCACCTCTAGGTAGGGGGTTATGTTTTATATTTAAGTGCTCTCGACCCGCCATTTCAGCCTGCACAGTTCATCCTTTTCTGCCACTGCCTGTTGCTGCACGTGGTTTCTGCTATGCACTGGCCCACTCATTCACTGTATCAGGTCCTCAGAAGATGCCTAGTCCAGGCCTCCTGTCTACCTATCTTCCAGATTTAGGCCACCCTTACCCAGAACTGAGACACTCACTGTCATATGGTCCAGCCTGTCAAGTCCATCAGAAGAGAACAGGCTGGCTAAGGCCAGTCACAGCCATACAGCAGGACCCCCCAGCCAATGTCCTGATTTTGGCCGCTAGGTCCTTGCCAGCAAAAACACCAGGCAGCTGTTCAAATATTTGGTGTCTGAAGCACCCGACATTAATTATTCATCTCCACCTTACTCAGCCCAGATTCCTGGACAAGTGTAGTTATAAAGGGATTAGAAAGGGACAGATGAGGGAGGACAGGCATGCACACCTGCTTCTCAAAGCAGTCTGTGAAGGCCACCAGGCCTGGCAGAGGCAGGGCCAGGCAGGCAGCGACCCCACCCAGTAATACGGGGCACAGCCGCAGGCAGACTCTTGGCCAACGGGAAGGCCGAGCTGCTGAAGTCAGGCCCATGCGGCCACTTGCCATGTGGTGTCTCTGACGCACACCCTTCCTGTCAGACCTGGGTCAGGGGCCACAAAGTTGCTTCTCCCTCTCCACGCCTGCTTTTTCCTACTGGTCTTAGACCTGCTTTCACGAGTCAGTACAGCGCCTTGCCAGGGACAAAAAGAGACATAAGTAGAATCAGCAAGGAAAAAGTAGAATCAGCAAGGAAATCTTTGAAAAGATGAGGAAGAAACTCAGTCTTGTCCACTTCTTCTACTCAGGTTACTCTGGGTAACTATCTGATAATGGGTCCTCATTGCCGCCTGCCTGTCCTTTCATCCAGCTTGCTTACTACCAAGTTTTGATCTTTCTTTTTTTTTTTCTGGCTCCCTAACTGTCTGTGGCTCCCATTGCATGCACCATCAAATCTGCTCCTCTGGGCTGATCCTATGTCTCTACCTCATTCCTTTCCTCACGTCACTCCACGAGCCCCGTGCACAGACCTCTGCACGGCAAACACAACCCACTGTGGCCTGCTGATAAAGGCCTTTGCTTATGCTGGTCACTTTATTCATTCCACCTGGAATGTTCCTTCTCTTTCAAGCCCAATTTGAAAGCACTATCTTCCTGAACCTTTCCTCGTCTCACCTCCAATTTGATCTCACAAAGTGCCATCCGTCCCAAAGGAAAGTAGCAGCAGGGAAAGAAAGAGGCTGGGCATGACTGAGGCTCTACCCTGCTCCTGACAGTCCTCATTCGCCCTCCACACTGAGGCACCAACAAACTCAAGGCAGCAGGCAGGTCAGTAGCAGGGCCATTAAGCTGAGAAAACACCAAGTTACAGCTCTGTCTCCTGTTCACGGCCAGGTGTCCTGACAAGCAATTCCTGTAGTGTGTGTGAGTGGCACCTCTATAAACCCTCTGACAGTTTGGGAGACAAACTCCGCCATCAATCAGAATGTAGCTATCAGGTTCACTTACAGCCTGGACCCCCGAGCCCTGCCAAGCATCCCCCTCCCCCCAGATGCACGAAGCTCGCAGTCAGCCTTGCATCCTCGGCTCAGCCTGACCCTACCCTGCTTCTGGGTGGGCAAAGAAGACAGCGGACAACCCTGGTATCACTCCTTTGTCCAGTATGGTTCCCACGAGAAAACAGGCACCCCAAAGCCCCAGCTTCTCAACATATCAAGGAGCCCTTGGCCGGAAGTCCTATCCTTTGCAGCTCTACTGCCTGGCAAGCCTGGGCCAGGATTCATACTCCAGAGGAAGATCGCTGTCTACTCTGCCAAATCCTGCATGTTTTCTCATGTTCCATGTCTTTGTTCCTCCTGGTGTCTCTGCTTAGAATTGTCTCCCTTCTTGTCATCAAAGCAAATGCCTGCTCCATCTGCAAGCGTTTCTCAGCTCAGCCATGTGTTCCACGCTAACCTGCAGTGCCTGCCCGCAGCAGCTGCTCACCAAGTATTCCTGAATGAACCCTCGCCTCACATTCTTTTAACCTCTACTAAGCACACTGTTGAAGACACATGCTTCTAAGATCTGATCCCTAGCCTCAATCCCTTCTCCGGGGATTTCTACGCAGGTGCCCACCTGCTCCTTGATCCAGCCTTCCTTGTAACTCCTACATCCTATGTGTTAACATGTACTGTTGTTATTCCTCACCAGACTGAAACTTAGGTCTGACTGCTGTGAATGTAGTGTCAGCCAGCAGAGCAGTCTGGGCCCTCAGCAAGCGCCACACCCCATGTGCCAGCAGTAACGGCTGCGCATGCAGCTCTCTTCTGTTAGCATCTGGGGGCCCTGTGCCAGAAGGAAGACTGTGGCCCAATAAGCTGGTGGCTGCAGAAACTCCTCAGGATGAAACCTGCTCCTCTGACCAGCTGGGCAGCCACCTTCTGCTCCTCTGACCAGCCAGGTAGGATGATGAGCACGACACATCTTTTTCCGCCAAGGAAAAGGCGTGTCTGTCTCTATTTTATACACTGTACTCTGACCCTGACCCCAACCTCCCAGCAGACAGATGTTGGGAATCTCTCCCTACCCCCACAGGTGTTCAGCACAGGTTGCTCCTGCCAATTTTACTCTTGCGCTATCCCAGCCAGCTCCAACCTCTTTCCCAGCACATTAAACTTTATTTTCTTAATGAAATGTCACTTGCTGACTTCTGGCAGAATCATAATAAAAAGAAACGGCCATAAAGCCGGTTTATGCAGACCGCGCCCCCGCCAGCTTTGCCCCTCCTGCTTTGAGAGCAAGATTCCCCCAGTCATTTTATGTTCTCAGCTGCTGGAAGATCCCAAGCCAGTACTCAAAGGCAAGATGGCACAGAGAGCTCCTTTCCAAGCCTCTGCTCCGCTTCCATGTAGCTGTGGGGGTAGCAGGCAAGCTGCCTCTCCTGCTGCTGCTATCAGGCCGCCCAGACCTCCTGGACAACCCCTGTGGTCACCACGGTGGTCCCCTTGTGCTGGCTTGGCCCCACCTTAAGGTGACATAAAGGGCTGACTGCCACCCACAGACCAACTAGGCCTGATCATGACGCTGAGCAATTGGGGGCCCTGCCTGAGGGGGGAGTGTAGTGTGAAAAACCCCTTCCCTCCAAGTGACTGCCTAGTGATAAGGGAGAGGGCTAAGTGCAGAAATGATAAGCATATCTAAATTTTATAAAAACCACCCCTCTCCCATAAACTCATTTCTTCCTGGAGAAAAATAGGGGGAAAAAAATCAGTGTTAATTTAATCAATTGATCAGATGATCGATTGAGAAACTGGAGATGCCTGTTTACTGGGGGCAGAGATGTCCTGGAACCTGAAACCACAAAAGAGGAGCCATCGATCTCCTCACCTGCTGCTCCCAACAAAACTAAAGCTCAGGGAGAAAAGAGAGTCTTGGGGTTCTCCTGAGGCCTGTGCTCTCCAAAGGCAGGGGGGCACGGACAGCAGTTTCCGGAGAGTTTTACACTGGAATTAGTTACAGATGCAGTTACGGTGTCTTGTGTAAACGCCATCGATTGGGGAGCTGACAGTCTGGGGAGCTGCGATGCGGGACAATCAATCGGCCTGCAGTGTCACCTGCCACCTCGCTGAACAGTTGACAATGCAATTATCCAGTGTGGAGGCAGGGAGTTGGCGTGTGTCAAACGCACTTAGCCACTTTCCGGGCCTCCTCGATAACGCGTTTCACTGCCTCACGTCAGGAGAGACGCATACAGACAGACACCGTTTAAAACCATTGATACTTGCGCCTTCTGCCTGCACTCCCTCTGTCCCTGCCTAACAATTGTGTTCCAAAAGGCGATTAAATCCCGTCAGTTGCCACAGGGGACAGAGGTGCCTTGCTCCTTGCCACCTCTCCTCACCCCTCCCACCAAGCAAGTCGTAACTAAAGGTGGAAAGCGGTGGAAAACAGCAGCCTAGCTCTCTCCACTCCCAGGACTGTCTCACCAGCAGTCGCTGTCCCAGAGCTGTCACTGACTGGACCAGGCAACAGGATAGCACAGGGGCACATTTCTAGTCTCTGGGGGTTCCATCTTCTAGGAAACAATGCACCAGAGGAGGTGGCAGCTAGTGCAAGGCCCATTTCTTTGTGCCGTTGGACTTAACTGCCCTGACTCATAATCTGCTAGTTAAGAAGAGATCTGTTCCAAAGCTGCCCGGATGTCCTCTCCATGACATCGCATCTCATCCTGGGTACTTGGAACCAGCCTCTGTCTAAGAAGGGCGCTTGCAAAATGTAGTTTGTATGCAGAGGTCCTGCACCGCTGGCCAGCGGTGCCTCCCTTCTCCCTCCTGCCCACCTGCTTGAGTCAAAGGGGCTCCGTGCTGGATTCCAGCAACAGTTGCCCTCCAGAGGTCAAAGGTATAGCTACAGACACGGTCCACTTCCTGTGTAGCCCCCTGGGAAATTTCTCCATCTTGTCACTCACAGCCCCATCACAACACTGTCACCTACTGAAACCAACCATTCCCATGCAAGCTCCAGCCTGTCCCTTTCCAAAAGACATGTTCCAGAGCCCTCCCTGGTGGTGCAATGGGTTGGAACACACCACTATGAAGCTAGCCACAGCTGCTTCAGCACGAGTTCGATCCTGGCCAGGGAGGCGACCATGAAGTGACCACGTGGCGCAGCAGACCTCTCCTGTCTCACCCGCTGCTCCCCTTAGCAGTGTGCTTCGCCAATCTGCCTGTTCTGTTCCCCACTCTGTCTCTGGTGAACCTTCTCACCACCCTTGCACCTCTGTGTGCATAAATCTTAACTAACAAAAGATGTACTCCCTAAATCCAGCTGGGTGAACTGCCACAGGGGAGTGATCAGAACTTCTTCAGGACCCAAGAGTGGGAGGTAGGAAATGAGGAAAGGTATAAATCATCCATCACAGGCCTCCCCTCTGACTACAGGTAGCAGCAGGTCTGTCCCAGTGGCTGTGTAATTAAGGTTTCCTCGGCCGGCCTCTCTGGTCTAGAGGCCCCTCATCCTGCTAGCATGATGCCTTAGTTTTTCCCTACTAACTGTTGAGCTCTTCTGTAAAACATCCTAGGGGATGTTGCTTAAATACTAGCTGTGTGTGCTGCCCCTTTATGCAGTTACAACACCTGACATCTTTCACAGGGTTGGGAAGGCCAGAGTGTTTCCTAGGTACTGAGAATTCCTTCCAACTACTCTCTTAATATCTTCATCTATTTCCTTTAGTCTCTTAAAGCTCTAGTTCCAGGTGGCCCTATCACAGTGCTTACCTGTTCTGTCTGCTCCTTTATTTTGTCCTAGAATGCTATTCTAAGCGCTTGTAGGCCTGAGCTCCCTGTCTCGAGGTCTCCTGCTCAGTAGTAAACCATCTCCAAGGTCTGTTCCCCTCAGTCGAGTTGTCTCCACCCAAACTCGTTTGTTCAGGGCCTCCGCAGCAGACTGCATTTACCGTAACTCATCTGTCCCCTCAGACCAGCTCCCACTGGAACAGGTGGGAAGCTTTGCTGAAGATGACGAAGGGGCTCCCATCTGGGAGGAGGGGTAGGGGATGATCGGATATAGGAACTTATCTGCAATTCTTCAATTCTTTCATATCTAACAGGGACAGCAATCTCTGCTCTGTCAGCACGCACAGGGCAGCTTAAATGGGCCTCACTGCTCGCCTGCTCGTCCTGCCTCTGCTCCCTCTCTCTGAAGTCGGCTGGGCAGCTTCTTCAGCCGGTGTTATCACTCCCTCTAACCGGTCTTGGCAGGCAATCTAATTCCTCCTGAAAAGGTCACCGCCATTTTAACTGCCTTTCAATCACATTAAGCACGCACTACCCGGTTTGTGGCCCAGCCCGCCCGGCGGGCGATCAATGCGCTGCACTGACACCAGTCCCTGGCAGGGCCACACCCAGCCCCCTCAGAGTTAGGGCCTATTGGACCCGGCCAGGGAGGGTAGACTGACAGATGGTCGGTCTCTGCAGACAGGGTTCTGGGGGCAGAGGCAGTCAGGATCAGCCAGGGCCTCCTTTTGATAGCTCCCCCACCGAGGAGCCTCAGCCTCCTCCGCTCCGCTGCACCCCGCTCTCTGCCTTGTGGCCCCCGCTGATCTTGCTGTAAAACAGTCTTTCAAGTCTGCCTGTCTTTTGACTGCACTAAGCTGTTTAAGAGGCGGCAGCAGCTTCTATCAGGAAAGCTGGAGCAATTCTCTGCAGATAAAGGCACCTCCAGCCCCTGTTCCCTCTTCAAGTCTCACTCTCATTCTCGCTCTCCAAATCACTCAAAGAAAAGCCCCCTTTGAACTCCCCTCAGGAATTCTTGAAAGGAACAACCTCACAGAGTAAACACTCAGGGAAAACTGACACCCGCCCAGGGCCTAAGAGCCCCCGAGGCCCTACTCTGCAACTGCATCCCAGCACAGGGGGGAAATACTTTGTCACATCAGCAGACCCTATGCAGCTTTATCTCCCTTGAGCCCTGTCTGGTGCCCAAAAGCCACCAGGTCCAGTTCTGTGGCAAGAAGCCTGACTAGGAAGTTGCCACAGCAATGGAAGATGTGCGTATCTGCAGCCTCCACACAGCCTCCTGGAACTGAGCCGGCACGAGCTGCCACAAGACACCTGTGTGCACAATTCACGGTGTCCACACTCTAAAGCTCCAGGATAGGACTGGAGTAAGGCGGCAGACGAACACGCTCCAGCTCCGGCTCAGGAAAACAGTTTGTCTGACTGACCTTCCGAGTCTGCACTCTAGCTTACCCCAAACATGGTTAATGGGAGAGAAGCCCGCAGAACAATGTGCCGCCTGTGTTCATAGTCCCTTCGTGTGGCTAGTCTTCATGGAACAGCACCCAAGGGAACCCTCCTGGAACTAGCCTGAGTAGTATGGCCCCAAGGAGACAAACACCCTCTTCTCGACTGCTGTGCGATTCCCCAGGGACAGGACACAGCAGCAGTCCCAGGGGTGTTGCTCAGAGAACGGAGGCAGATGGGAAGCAGACTGGCTCACTTAATGACCACAAGCTGCAGTGCCAGCTGTGCTTGTGCACTGAAAAGGAGAAGGGCTGGAGGCTGCGAGCAGACAGCTCCTCTCCTGGCCAAGGCAAGGACTTTGATAAGAGGACCCTGACCCTGGGCACCCGGCCAGGCTGTTGCTGGACCTGGGGAGGATGGGGAACTTCCACTGGGCCATGCCTCCTGCCCCCAAGGAGCTGACCGAGGCCTGCAGACCTCTCTGCAGCAACTGTGGAGGGCCCAAGGGATGTAGGGAGCAGCTGGGCCCAGGTCCCTCTTGCTTCAGGGCAGAGGGCGCCTGGGGAGAAGGGATGGGATCAGAGCTAAAATTAGATTCACCAGAGAAGCTCATGGGAGGTCAAATTTTGCCATAACTCACTCTCTCCTCTGTAACTGATTTCCCTGACATGGGGCTGAGGAGGAGGAGGAAAATCCAATGTGTCTGCCTGGAAGCCCTCAGGGCCCCCAGTGCTGGAGGTGTACAGCAGGTTGCTGGATTCTCATTTATCAGCCTTAAGAGGGATGGAGTGATAAATGCATAACCGTCCCTTTAATATTTTATGCAGGTGCTAACGCGGCTTGGCTGTCACCTTCAATGCATCACCCGAGGCTGAGAGCCCCCCTCGTCACTCCTAGCTTGCAGCCTCACAATTCCATTTCCCCACCCAAATACATCCATTTTAATATGCACATCACAGGCAGGCGGCACGGTCACAAAGGAGCCGCCAGCAGCAGTTTCCACGTGGTGGAATGGATGACCAGCGACCAGCCACCAGCCCTGGTCTCTCATCTCCTAACACACGGGCTAGGGGTCAGCTGCTTGTACCTCGGAAGCCACCTTCCAGGAGAGTGGTAGCCCGTATCCGCTTCTGCCCGCACCACTCATACTCCTCAAAGCGGGTGCTGTTCTCATGCTCGATGTCCACGGTATCATCCTCAGCCATGCAGGAGCCTTCCCTCTGTGAAGAGCACAGCAGGATCGTGTGGGTCCCAGGCCACCCCTACCCGCTCCCCAGGGCGTGCCAGGAAGGCACAGTCCTAGTCCCAGCTGTGATGTGCCAGGTGGGCCCAGCTCTAGGGCTCCTTTGGCCACAGACCTGGGCCTCTTCCCAATAATTTTTCATGGAGCCCCAAGGGAGAGGTGGGAGAATGAAAGCAAAGGAAGAAGGCAAAGAGAGGAAGAATCTGTGGAGACCAGAGACCCCAGTAGCCCACAGATCCGGGGGCAGTCAGCAGCTAGTTTGAGGGGAACAGAAGGGGAGGGAAAGGAGTGGGAGTAGCTGGCGATGGCCCCTCTACCTTAGAAAGGCAGTGCTCCACATGCCTACTCATCTCCTGCTCCGATCCTGCCAGGGGGCGGCTGCACAGGGGACATACCTGCCCTTCATCTTGCTTCCTCCGTTTCATTTTCCCAATCCGAGCTGCATGAAGAAACCGAAAATAAAGAAGAGGTGGTCACTGTAGCACCCAAGGTCCCAGTGGAGCTGACACATCCTGACCCCCTGCCAGACATTAGCCCTTCAGTTCAGTGCCTGGCTTGGCCTTCATTATACAGCACCTTCTGCTCCTCGGGGCCTGGTCTTGCCAAGAGCACCAGGGAGATTGCTGCTAGTCTGGCCAAATGTCCTCTCTGGTAACAGCTGGTTATCCCTACCTGGCTGGAATACTCAGTGAGTCCAATGAACAAAGACACTTCATGTCTTCCAAGAAGTCTAAGACCATGGGCTCTTTTGGTGTCGAGAAACACAACTTTAGAGAACATCTCTTAGCTAGAATCCAAGATTCCCCCAGAAGCCCGATATGGCCTGATGTTCATTCATCAGCTGACTTCCTTTTGTTCCTGGGCCAAGAGCCCTGAAGTAGTTGTTAAGATCTTACCTATAATCATCCCGGGAAGAATTTCTCCTATGCCCTCTGATCCCATTTTACAGAAGAGGAGATTGAGGCCCAGTCATAAAGGTATAGAGGGTTTGAGTCAGAGTACCTTGAGAGCACAGCCTTTACTGTGTTTACCCAAACCTGTTCCATCATTTCTAATCAGTGCAGTGGGGCTGGCAGACTCTGGAGGCAGAGGGTTGCCTGCCACACTGTCCCGCAGGGGGCTCAATTCCAAAGTGCACACTGCAAGCCCACAGCACTGCTAATTAATGCTGAGAGATGCAATCATTTCTAATTAGCTCACTAATCCCTCTCTGCAACCCTCCTGTCACCGAAGCAGGAAGGGGTCAAAACAAGGGACTCTGTTCCCTTGAGCCCCTCCCTAGATGTAACAGCAGGAGCAAAGCTAGCCACTCTGAGACCAGATTAATGTTGGGGGGTGGGGAAGCTAGCCTAGGAGGGAAAGGCTACTCTAAGGCTAGGTGGGACATTCTCATGGATACTGACCCTGGTGGAAAACCCATGAATGCAGTTTCGGAAGGGGGACGAACGTAACAGGTGAGACAGAATAATTCTCTAAAATTACATTTTAGAGCTTCAACTGTGTTAGGTTCAGAGTCAAGTACATTATACTAGATAGCTCAATTAATTCGATATCTTGAATCTAGGTTGCCATATTCATGTTAATAGATGAACAAACTCAGAGGAAAAAACTCAAAGAGATCAAGGCACTTGTTCACAAAGTTAAAAAGTAGCAAAAACAGGATAGGAAACCAGGCCTAACCCATAGCCTGCAATGCTCTCCTGTCCTAAGAGCCCCTGACTGGTCAGTATCAACAAAGACTGATCCTGTAAGTGTGCTAGAACAGGGAGAATATGCCTGTGTTCCCACTCCTACTGTGGAGGGCTTGAGGCAGAGAGCTATGTTACTTGTAAAATTGTAAAACAGGAAAGCCACCATTCCATCAGGACTGGCATGGAGGTCTGAGAAACCTTGGTCCGTAGGCTGATCCATCTCTTAACTTCCTGTGTTCTCACTAGAGAAGATGTGATTATATTCTAGTGCTCCACTTGATTTTATCAACAAAAATCTAGGTTCTTTTCCTTTGACTACCCTAGGCCTTGGAATACCAGGCTTGAGATATCCCGACTCTCTGGAGCCAGGGCTGGTGGAGAGGCATCTAGTTATCAGAAAGGCAAAGGAGCCTACGAGTTTAGGAGACCTGATGGAGTAGTGCACCAACACAGATTCCGTACCTACCCTGCTTAGTGTCAGAGGGATTGCCTCCTTCATAAGCAGGGGTCTATAAGCGGACATCGTTTGATAACTGAATAAGGAAGTGAATCTTACAGAATTACAGAAGGAGAAGACCCTGGATGCTCTCCTGTGCAGGCCATCCAGGATAGAAGACCCCTTGTAGTCCCAGGGAAGCTCCTAATGTATTGCATGTCACCTGGGAAGCCTCAGCCAAGCAAAGCAGGTTTGTTTTTTTTCTCACAATCCGAGCCATGAACTAAACTTACAAAAATGAGTTTGGGGGGAGGATGTGCTCCTTACTTAAGAGACTACCTCTGAATAGGAAAAGTCAAGTATTTGCCAAGGAGGTAGTGTGGCATGGCTGGAGAAGCACAGGCTTTGGAGAGAAACTGGTTTAAATCATTTCTCAGTTACACCCCAGCTGTGTGACTTCAATTAAAGCAGCTTCACTTCTTTCAGCCTCAGTTTCCTTATCTATGTATGTAGCACTTTCCTTTCAAGAGATGTTATGATGATACTTAACATGGTGCCAACCCATAATGAAATATGTTCCCTTTCCCTGACAGGGGTCCAGTCTGGCAGCAGAAACCAAGAGGCAGGAGCTGGCCATCTTGAACCACCATGGCCTCAATCACCTGCTGGCCAGAGACCCTAAGTCCCTTCAACCAACCCCCAGATATATCACGCCCTAGTCAGTACAAAAAAGCTAGGATCATTCAATTGTGTTCAGTAAATAGAAATGCTCCAGAGGTTTGAATCCAAAAAGGGGTGGGGGGGGCAGGTAGTGCATACACGATGTGCTTTCAGAGAAGGCCTCTAAGAGCTGTCGAGCCCACGCTGATCACCTTTGTGAAATGTGGGCCGACTAACTCAAAGAGCCCTAGGATGAGTTAGTTCCTGTTGCCGTGGGAACTCCAGATCTCTTTGCATTGTCAAGTCTCAGCAGAGAGGCTGTATTCACACTACTGGGCACTGATTAAAAACTGGAAGAAAAACATTCACAGCACCCTGCCGGCTTGTACAGTGAGGACCCAGCAGTTTGCAAATTCAAAGCTCTGCTCCCGAGTGGAATTGTATAGCTTGTTTCTCATTCTCTGGCACTTATTGCCCCCCCGGGGCTCTTCAAGGCCTTTAAAGAGGCGTGGGCATGAGCTGGGAACCATAACCTCCATTAGACAGACGGGGAAACTGAGGGCGGCGGCGCTGTAACCGTGAAGATGCCGAGGGGCCCCCAAATCGAAGAAACCCACGCAAGCCAGGAGCTGCAGGCAGCGAGGGAGGGAGGAGGCCGGGGGTGGGGCGGAAGGAGGGGCCGAGCAAGACTCACCATTCAGTCGCGTCTGCCGGTTGGCTCGCACTCGCAAGAAGGTCTGGAAGAAGATCCCCGGCAGATGCAAAAAAATAGGAGAGGGTGTCAGGCGCGGCCTGGAGTCCTAGCCCCCACCCCCATCACGGACCCCAGTGCAGGCCTGCCCCGCCCCAAACAGCCCGTAAACAAACCTACTTCCTCCCTCCTGCCGGCCCCCCTGCTCCGCCGGCCGCTCCGGGCCCTCGGCATAGCCGCCGGGGGCTGCTCTAACGGGACCCCGCGGCCACCGCGCGTTTCCGCCCCAGCCTCAGCCCCAGGCACTCGGGGCCCCGCGGCCGCCCGGCCGGCGAGGGCGGCGATGCGGGCGGATTCCCCCCGGCTGCCCGGCGGCGGCGGCACTTAGCTCCCAGCGGCGGCGGCGGCCATGTTGGCCCTGATCACGTGACCTGCCGCCGTCGCGCGCCGGGGGTGAAAGTTCACCAAACGGGGGGCGGCCGGACCGGGACCAGGAAACAGCTGCTCCTACTCCGGTAGCAGCCGGCTGGGACTGATCCGGGGTCCCTCCCACTTTCCGGTCTTTCTACCCGTCCCAACTAAAGCGTGGTCCTTTCACCCCACGCCCCCTCCCGGTGCAGGGCTCCTCTGGCCCTAGAGCCCCGGCTCGCTAGAGCAGCGGTGCAGAGGCTGGCGCTGGGCTGTGGAAGAGGCATCGGATTTCCCCCATGGTGATTTCTTTGTACATAATGACTGTGCTGCCTGTTCCCCCAACTCCGCCAGGGCCTCAGCCCCTGGCTTTTCAGCAGCCTTGTTACTGAAGGGTTCCTAACATTTCAGCTGTTTATCCATACTACTGAATTCGACAGCCATCAAACAGGAGCATTCATCTTTGATCTCAATTCTTTATTTTATTTTATTTATGCATACAGAAATGGGGTACAGGCCAGAAGTGCAGGGAAGGCAAGAGGATTCGCCAGAAACAGTGGGGAGCAGAAAAGGCAAATTGAGGAAATACACTGCTGAGAGGAGCAGTGGGTGAGACAGGAGAGTCATCTCTTATAACCTGCGCCATGTGGGTCAGCTCCGGGGTGGGAATTGAACTTGCACTGAAGCAGCCACACAGCTTGGCTTAGTTAAGCAGTGCAGCGCTCTACCTGCTGCGCCACCAGGGAGAGTTCCTGATTTCACCTACCAGCTCAGGTGTGCCCACGTCTGAAAACAGCGTCATTCATGACCCCACTCTCCTTCATTCCTCTAGATCCAAGAGTCTACCTTTAAAGTTCTCTTAAATCTTCTCATCTCCACCTTGTTGTATTTCTTACTCATCCTTCCAGACCTAACTGAAAACTTTTAATTTCGTTAGAGTACTTCCATCTTTACCCCCATTATAGCTCATAACCATTATTGCCCCTCTGACACTGCAAAACTATCTGTAGCTCTTTGAGCATTCTGCTCTGGATTCTGGATTAGATTATCCTTCAGGCCTCTATTCCCTCTGCTTGGTTACTGATGCTCTCTTTCAGGACCCTGGGAAGGCTTCACTTTCCCCTCAATAGTTGGGTTAGTTGCCAACTCTGGGCTTCCAAAGCTCTTTGGCTTCACTTCTTGGGAGGTAGGCTATCTCTATCAAGTTACCCAGCACAAGGCCTAGCATTCAGGAGGGTAGGAAGATATTTATGAAGGAAGCCCCCAAGCCCAGTGCAGGGCTAGGAAACTAAGATTCAGGTTCAGACAGACTCAAGTGCAGTTCTGACTCCTACTCATAATTTATGTGTTTTTTAGAAAAGTCATTCCCACCCCCAAACCCCCAAAGACCTTAAATTCCTTAGTAACTAACAGGGACTGATTAATCCTAGTGTGAACAATTGTTATGAGGGCACAATGAAGCAATGGTTAAGAATGTTAGGTAACCTAGCAGTGGCTAAGTAAATGGGAATCCAAAGCAAAAACCAACACTTCCTCCTTTCAAGGCCAAGTTCTATGATTTAAAAAAAAAAAAAAAAAAGCCTAACTTAATTGAACAACTACTACATGCTAGACATTGCATAAAGATCAGTGGATGGAGGGCCTTCCTGGTGGCACATGGGTTAAAGATACAGTGCTATCAAGCTATCACCAGCCACTGCAACAAGAGTTCAATTTCTGGCCAGGGAGCTGACCCACACGGAGCGCAGACCTCTCCTATCTTTCCTGTTGCTTGCCTCAACAGTGTATTTCAGTAGATTCGCATGCTGTGCTCTCCACTCTGTCCTGTGGTGAATCCTCTCACTCCCCCCCCACCCTCTTCTCTGGCTTATACCCCAATTCTTGTATGCATGAGTAAATAAATCTTTTTAAAAAAAAGATCAGGGGGGCCCTCCCTTGTGGCGCAGCGGGTTAAAGCACTGCACTAAGAAGCTTAGGCCACTTCCACATGAGTTCGATTCCTGCCTGCCCTGGAGGAGATCCACATGGCATGGCAGACCTCTCCTGACCCGCCCACTGCTCCCCTCAGCAGTGTAATTCATTGATCTGCCTGTTCTGCTCCCCACTCTGTCTCTGGTGAATCCTCTCACCCTCCGCATCTCTGGTCTGTACCCCAGTTCTATATGAATAAATAAATAAATCTTAAAAAAAGAAAAAAAGATCAGGGGATGGGTTAGCTACTCTACTGGGTTACTCTCCAGCTTCACCTCCTACCATTTCTCCTTGTGTTTTACTTTTTAACAAAACTGAACTGAACATATCATTCTGTGCTATACTATAGTGCCCTTTGCATGTAGTGTTACCTTGATCTAGAATAACCTTTCTTCCTGTCCAACAAAGTAAATTACTATTTATTCTCTGAAACCCTGGTCAGTCGCAATCTCCACTGTACTATGCTAGAAAATCATTTATATTCCTGCCTGGACTATAATTATTTACTTGCAAATCTAACTCCTTGAAGGTATGGAAATGGGGCTGAGTGAGTACTAGACAAATGTCTGAATAAAGCAAGCGAATGTCTGAATAAAGCAAGCGAGTAAAGAAGGCTAATATAAGGTCCTTTTGGAAGAAGCCAAGTCTAATGTGGGAGTCAGCTCATTGTGATAGAGACATATATGACCATCCTCTGCAGCGCCTCCTAATAGCGGCATTTTCTCACCCCTTGGTAATGGGTTAGTTTTGTGCCTTGCTTTGGCTTTTCCAAGTGACGTGTGAGTTTCAGAGACTAGGTCTCAAGAAATCTTGCAGCGCTGGCCTTCTCCCTCTTGGTATGACACTACTTTGTAATGGGAGCAAGGAAGACACTGTAATCTACTGGAGGATGAAGCCACATGGCTGAGAAACTGGGCCCTCTAAACTCCCAGACACATGGTGATGTCGTTTTGGACTTTCCACCCGAGCCAACCCTCTAGCTGAATGAAATATATGAGTGAGGAAATAGCCAGTCAACCCGTAGACTCACAAGAAATAATTTAAATTGTGTTAGACTGTAAAGTTATGAAATGGTTTGCTATACATCAATAGAAAAGGAAACTCACCTAAGTAGGTGATAGAAATATAGGATAGGGATAATATACAGGATATACAGGGTCATGAGAAGTGCTTCCTGGAGATGATGGTATTTAGGCAGACATTTGAAGGATAAATAGGAATTTGATAAGGTAATGTCAAATAGGCCCATTAGAAGAAACAGAATGTAAAGAATTGCATAGCCAGGGATTGTCTGCATGAATTTTATGAGCATACAGGTTGAATCTAAATCTAGGAAGGCCTCTGTGCCATGCCAGAGCATACCACGCCTTTGCATGATGGTAACTCTTCCTAGTTCAACAGACGGTGGAGGCTGAATGCTGAGTCGAGAGGATGGGCTTTGAAGGCAGCGCTCTGTTTTCTCCTTTGGAGTGAACTGTCTGGGATAGAGCTTGTCTCCCTCTCAGACCAGAATTCCTTAGGGCTAGGTCACTGCTCCTCCAAAACAGGCTAGTCTGGGTGAGGGCACTGTCTTAGAGCCCAGACTCAGCTGTCTCCTACCAGGGTTTGTGAGAGCTGGGATCCCTCTCCAGGGGTGGCACTTTGGACCATGTAAAGGCATCCTGCAGGAGGTGCCAGTGGGGACTAGTGTCCAGCCCACATCTGGTACTTCACCCTCCAAACTCTGCACCTGGATACCAGGCTGCACCAGCTGAAAGGAAAGGGTGCCCAGAGAGAACACCTCTGCTTCTAACAAAGGCCAGGTGTGTTGGCAGCCACCCTGTTCTCTAGCGCGGAAGTCCCTGCTGCCTTGTCTTCCTGTCTTGGATCAGGGCTGCTGAGTCAGGGCTGTGCTTCCCCTTTCCCAGAGCAGACCTGTTGCCATTTCGACAAATGTTCCTTGGAGCAGGACTTGGTTTTCTTTCATCGGCTTGGAGCTCTTCAAGGTAGGACTAACTTTCCTATGACAGAAGCGACTAGGGGAAGTTCTTTCTCTTTCCTACCACAAAGAAGGCCCATATAGTTCTAGGAACCTAATCTTGGTGCCACCCTCCACCCCATTCCCATATTTAAGGATTATGTGACCAAGCCACTCACAGTCAACATCAAGCCCTAATACCAGGGCTTGATAGGACTGAATAGTTAACTTGCTCAAGTGTTGCTGATTTTGAAATTTGAAGTCCTCAGGTGATTCTGGGTTAGGTCTCTAAGTCCCTCATGAAACCAAAGCACCAGAAAACCTCCTGATGGATGGGATGTTTCAGAGATGCTTGAACCATGGGTAACCTTGGCATCTCTCCCTATCTAACCACACAGGGCCCATTCCATGACACATGTGCCCGTGAAGTTTCATTAGAGGCTCTAGACACAGAACCAAACCCAGTTTGGAGGGGAGAGGAGGAGTCAGTACTAGGCGTGACCTCTAGGCTCTCACGCCCACCCCAGCCTCTCCTCACCTGGTATCTGTCTGAGTGGTGCAGATCATCCGTGGCAGACGAGTGTGGCGAAGCTGTTGGAGACTCTCCTTCCCTCTTGATGGAAGCAGACAACAGGAGGGACTGGAAGAAGAAAAAGGGCATGTGATCTCCAGTGGAATGAGACCTCCAGTTGGTCCCCTAGAGTTCCTGGTTCTGGGAGCTCTTGGGAGACAGGCAGAGAAAAGGCGGGCAGAAGAATACAAGGGCCGGCCGCTCCTAAGACCCTGAAAGCCTGTGGTTAGGCCTTGGGATGTGGCTGAGGGAGAGGGAGGCTTGATGCTAAGGATGGGTAAAGACCCCTACCAGGAGGTCCAAACCCCCAAGACCCCAGTAAATCTCTGGCGAGGCAGACTCCCAGCCCTCCCACAGTGGGCTAAGAGGATACATGCTTTGTTCTCCCTTAGTGAGCAGAGACTCTGGGACCCCCCTGAAGGGTCGGGGGTAAAGCTACAAACCTGGCCTGGCCCTAATATAGGCTGATGGCAGCTCCGCTATGGAGACAGTAAATTAAATAGTATGTATGAGTTTCCTGAGTGTAGCTAGGGATGTATGCTGGGTCCATTTATCCCCTCGCGGCGAGGATGACCCCAGCAAAAACCCCAGCCAGACTAATCCCCCCATGTCAATCCTGCACGGCCTCTTCTACATACGCCTGCAGTTTAGATTAATAAACTGTCTGCTTCAAATTGTGTGTGAGCACCACAATTCTAAATACCACATGGCACATTCAGCCTGCTCTTGCCGGCTCTTGCCAAGGCCTGTTCAGCTGCAAACTGGGGGCCTGGAGACCTGAAAGCAATCCATACTCCCCCAGCCCCCACCTCCTCCAGCCTGCACAGCGCTGAGGCGGAAGCATGCAATTCCCTAGGAGGCCTCCCCAGCCTAGAAAACCATGCCAAATCGCCAGTGACAGCCCAAAGAAAGCAATTTGGGAAAGATGGAGCAGCCATTTATCCTTCATCTCCGACTGAGCCTTAGGATGTGACCCGCATGCGGTGGCCACGCCGCACATCCTCAGGCAGGGCCCGGAAGGGAGGGTGGCTGTTTATCTGGGGGGCTAGCTGACTTGGCCTCAGGGAGTCAGGAAGAGGCTGAGAAGGGCCTGGGTGGGACTGCCTGTGCGCGAAGCCTCCTTTACCCACCCAGGCTCAATGGGAAGTCTAGTGGGTCTGGGCCCTGGCTCGGAAAGAGGTGGGTTTTTAGGCAAGATCTTTCTCCTCTGGTTCCAAGGAGGATGCGGAGGAGAAAAAACAACGTGGACACCCTTTCTTCCACTCCCTACCCCCGACAAGAAAGCTCACATGCTTGCGCTTTTTCCCCCCTCTCTCATTCGCTCTCGGTTAGAAGCCCTGAGAGGCCTCAGCATTACACCTGGGGCAAGCGGAATAAAAAAAGGTCACTGGCGCTTTTTAAACATGGACCAAAAAGCAGTAAAATGTGTTTTGAAAAAAAAATCCCGGCATTAAATCATGACTTTTTGCCTGGCTCTTCGCCTCATTAAAAGTGGCCTTTTGGAAGGTAAAATTATCATTGTAAGCGATAAGATCTTTAAGAAAATAATTCACGGCTTCTTCACCCTTTAATATGATAGCCGCCACCGGCTAATTTTTTTCTTAATGGCAACGAGGCCATCAATCTTGTCTAAGGTGGCCTCACCCTCCCCTCCTCCTCCCTCCCTCTTCCTCCTTGTCCTCTCAGTCTCTTACTTGAACCTTCTACCTCGGGCCTCTTCCCTATGACCTGCTTCCCTAAAGCCTACTTCAAAGCAGAGGCTGGACCTGCAAGTGGTCAACTTTGGGGATGTGACCGCATCTTTGGAATTGAGTGAGCAGAGGCCCTTGTCTCTGCATCTGATCTATATTCCTGAGTTGGTGGCTGCAGGGATCTGTGAGAGTTTAACACTGCCCAGGTGTGTGTGCATCTGTGTATGCGGGAAACTAGGTATGGATGCAGGCTGTCTGTCTTCCCATGGAGGCCTCACTGGAATCCAATCCCAACTCTGTCAGCTTGCTCAGATGTCAGTGGTTGTGGTGGCTAAGTTGGCAGCTTGTCCATGACACACCTTCTTTAACCACAACAGTAAATGTAGGAGGCTGGGTCAAGCTAAGCGAATGTGGGTCCCACATCTGAGTCCACAGCTGCCTGGCACTACCTACCTTTTCTCTTTAGGCCTGGAAAGGTTTGCTTCCAGGGCCAGGGCCTGTACCAGTCCAAGGCTGGGCTACCTTCCCTGTCTGTCTTCAGTACAGCTTGCTGAAATTGAACTCTTTCCTGAATGAAGGTAGATTTTAGATTTACCGTCTAAAATGAATGAGATGAATGAGAGAGAAGGGGTGAAAAAAGCTCATGTGCGAGCTTTCTTGTTGGGGGGCAGGGAGTGGAGGAAAGGGTGTCCGCATTGTTTTCCTTCCTCAGCATCCTCCTTGGAACCAGAGGAGAAAGACCTTGCCTAAGTCTAAAAACCCTAGGGGATTGCATCAGCCCAGCAGGGGTAATCCTTGCCACTCTGGCTCCTTTTCCCAAAAGTGCTCTCTCAGAGGTCACCAGTGACTTCTAAATATAATGGTCTTCTTCTCCAGCTTTTCTTTATTTGCCTCTACTTCCCATATACTTGGGGACATGTTTCCCCTTGGGATACATACTCTCCTGCCCCTCTCATAATTCGGGTTATTCTTCCTCTGCCCCTCCCCTGGCTTCTGTACTTTATTTTGATCCCCCTCCCCCAATACAGGATTCCTCCAGATTGTCTCCTTTGAGTTTGCTTTAGTCTGGCCATACACTCTCTTGACTGATTTTATCCATTCCCAAAGCTTCAGTGCTTACTCCTTACGCCCTATAGAAAGGTTTAAGGATCCTTGCCTTTATGAGCCATTGTGAGAATTTATAAGAAAGGAGGCACCTTATACCAACGGGTAGGTGCGGGGGTCATTCAGTGAGTAAGGGTATATTTTCTGCCCCATGTCCTCCCACCCCACAAATCATCACCTTTGGGGAAGCAGAACCACCTGCCTCTGTAGCCACCTATGGGAGTTCTTGGTACAAATGACACCAGTGTGCTGAGGCCTCTCTGGTCCCTCTAGTCACATGCCTTTCATTTTTCCTTTCTCCATCTGATGCTTTCAAGCCTCTCTTCCATACTGTCCGTTCAGACAAGCAGACTTTCCTCCCAAATGAGCCCAGCATCCTCTCTGGGTCCCTGTTCCCCTCAGGATCACACACATATGCGCATGCATGCACACACACTCACTCCATGGTCTGGCTTCAAAGTCTAAACTGTGTCTTGACCTGAATTCCTATATTTCCCCCTTCTATTATAGCTCACCTTCCTCTTTCGATTTTCCTCAGTCTTAGTGTTTGGGTCTAGCTTGCCCCCAGGTCACACCCTCTCCTGACTGGAGGAAGAGGAAGTCATGTAAGTGTACCCTTACTCACATTCAGACACCACACTCTCTCTCTCTCTCTCTCTCTCTCTCTCTCTCTCAAGGTACTGGGCAGCTCTAGGCCTAAGCCTACAGATAGCTAAGGAGCCAGAAAGAGCTCCTTTCCCTCAAGAGGAATCAGTTCTCAGTGGGCCTAGGGTAGGAAGGCAGTAGGAAAACACGTAATTGGCCACCTACCTTGGGGGTACCTGGAGTCATGGCATCCTTCAGAAGGGAATTTTTGCTGCCAAGAAAGAAGAGAAGAGGGTGACTATTCCACTTGCTGCCCAGGCACATAAGGGGGGAGTAGCAAGAAGAGAGAAGGCGTAGCCAGCACAGCCAAGCTCAGCTCAGCTCCACCCAGCTCAGCGAACCCCTGCTGGCCCTGCCTCGCTCAGCCTCCACCAGAGGCCCAGGATCAGAGCTGGTTCCTAGGAGTGGGGTACTGAACCTAAGCGTGGCAGGCTCCTCTGTGGGCCTGAGGAAAGGGACTTTACCTGACTCCCCACATCCTCCCGGAGGATTCTGCCTGTCTTGGATGCCCCCTCCCCTCCACTCCCTGTCTCCAGTCTGCTCTTAGCTCCTGTGGGACTGGGGTGATAGAGCTGACATGGCTCTTGTCAATTCTCCCTCCAACATGCTGCAAACTGCGTTAGGCCAGAAATGATCTCCCCCTGATTCAATTTGTCAGCCCCAGGCCCTCTGGCATCGGGCGCGGCAGGCGGGCGGGAGCTGGGCCCTGAAATATGGTGGGCGGCTCAGAGAAGGCGGGGGCGGGGGCGGGAGGTGATGGATGGGCTGTGGGGGAGGCGAGGACTGTGTTTAATAACAAAATTGGTATGCAAGGCCACATCCCATGCTAAGCATGAGTGATCCAGAGCCACAAAGTATTACAAATCCCCGCTAAACAGATGCTGACAATGGAACAAGACGTATCAAATCAGATCCACTTCAGAAACATTAATATCCCTGTTCCTGTCCCTCCCTCCCTGTCGCCCCCACTATACTCACCACATCTGTGCTCACACATGCACTCATACACTCACACAAATACATGCACGCGGAGGTGCTGGCTGGTACCTGCACCGGGGGCACACACAGCCCACCCATCTCGGGTCCCCGCACAAACACGCATGCAAGCTGTACAGGTGGAGCACCCCCACAGAGCTGTCATAAAGCACAAAAGACACTGACACACACCCAAGGCAGCAAGGGGTGCATACAGACTCACCGATGAATACACAGGGAACACCCACATGGGTGCACAGGCACCCACAGTTAGACACAGATGTGCCCAATGTGAGTAAAGCCATAGGCAGATTCGATAAGGTAGTAGTCCTCACCTGGGAGCAGACTTTTGCTACTGGCATCTAGTGGATAGAGGATATTAACCATGCTACAATGTCTCGGACAACCCCTCACAACACAGAATTATCTGTCCCAGAATGTCAATACCGCTGAGGTTGAGAAACCCTAGTACAAAGGCAGATACACACAAATCCATCATCTCCCCATCATTCAGTCAACAATTGTGCACCTGTAGGGGCTCACGCTGGGAGCTCAGGCATGCGCAGGTGCAGGGTCCAACCTAAGACATATCCATGGACACTCATGGCAGTTACCCAGACCTGGATGCAATGCTCAGGCACCCGCACTCACATAGACACACATACAGACAGAACACTTGCACTGACACACGTACAGGCACGCATGCACCCACAAATGCAGATGACTGAGGTCACACACCCACACAGACACAACCACAGCACAGGAGCCTCCCGGCTCAGCAGCAGGGTGAGGCTGAAGTCTGAGAGTGGAAACAGCTGTCTGCCTGTCCAGTCACATGTGGCGTGGCACAGACTGGAAGGACAGTCAGTCCAGGCTCCCTTCAATCACATTTTCTCATAAATGGCCCTAGCATTGCTGATCAGTGTCGGGCTCTGAACTAGGCACTGTGGCTGCAGAGAGGTAGCCCTGCAGAGAGGAGCAATTAACTAGTTATTTTGATCATTCCTTCCAAATTTCACTCACTCAGTATGGACTGACATCACCACCGTGTGGGGCATGATACCTGGACCGACAGGTACAGAAATGAGGCATCCACTACATTATCTTGTTCTCTTTGGCCCTTTGGACTAAGAGCTGAATATTATCTCAGTGGGATCAGGTTGGAAGAGAAAAGAATGAACAATTACTGTGCATGCATGTGCTAGGTTGCTTCACAGGTATAACCTCAGTCTTCACAAATACTTTGCAAAGTTGACCAGCAGAGGTTAAGCAACACCTCTATGCTCACATAGTCCACGCAGGGCCTGGAATTTGATTGAGTTCATGCCTGGACCATTCAAAGTGTTGCACTTCAATCTCTATGCTGCCTCCCTAAAGATACCTGGGGATCAGGAAGGAGAATAGAGTTGTGAGTTCTGTTTCCTTTTCCACTTTGGGAAGCATCCAACTGATTCTGATGTTAGCTTACTCTGCTGGCAAACAAATGGTTTCTGTTCAGCCTCTCTCTTTGCCGATCCTCTGGATTTTCCCCTAGCAATCCTCTTCCTTTCCCCAACCTCCCAGGTTGGACTGTATTTACTCTAGACTCCCCCTTTTTCTGAACAAGCGCCCCTTGACCTACTGTACCTTTCCTCCAACAACCTGATCACCTCCAAGTATACCTGGTCCCTCAGAGACCGAGGAGACTGGGGATAGCCCCCCTTGGAGAGACCTGAACCCTGGAGCTGCAGGCATCAGGCCCCTGCCTGCCCAAACTCCCTGCCTCCGGTCGGTCGGTCCCTCCATGTTTGCACAGCCTGCCCCCCAACGATTTCCTCCCTTCTCAGTCACTCGCTGCCTAGTGATCCATGGGTTTTAAATTATAACTGGGACCCAGGAAACGCGTTCCTAAGTACAATATTCATGGGCTGGGCTGACACTTTTAATTAAGGTGATTTACACTGAATTATCCTTGGAAATAAAGAAATGGTGTGCTGCCCGGGAATAAACCATCATCACCAGCCGCCTTTGTAAGTTACACTTCGTTTTAATCTATTTGGGGAATTGTTTATCTAGTTCATTACCCAACCAAACACCGAGGCCAGCCTTAAATAAGGCTTAAGTAGGGATGGGGGCAGTGCCATCTCCACCCCCTGCCTCTCCTTCAGAGTCACCCAGCCTCCCCCTAGCCCGTCAGTACACATCCAGGCTCCACCCCATCACAAGCCCAGTGCAATCTGAGGCTTAGCACACCCACAGCTCTGTCTCCTCTTTTCCTCGATACTTGCTTCGCTGCCTTCATCACCCTTCCAGTCACTCAAGCCAGAATGCTCCCCCTAGCAGGTACCCCACTATTAATCAGCTCAGAGTAACCAGCTTCCCCCCTCATGCCTTGGTTACTCATAGCCTTTTCCATTTGCTCTGCCGCTGCTGTTGTCCCAGGTCAGCCTTATCATGTGTCCCCTAGACCCCGCTCAACACCTCACGTCCTCCTGTTTCTAGCCCCAATTCACGTTCCCTGCTGGCCTCCAGGGGATTCTCCTGTGGCTCAGCTCACCAATTTTCTAATTCCCCCTGACATCAGGACAACCCCCTTGGCCCTGAAGGCCCTCTCCAGTCAGTCCTCACTCTCACTTTGCCCTCTTTGTTCTCACCAGCCACACACCCCGGTTTCTTGGAGCCCTTCAGGATAGAGAAGGGGAAAGGAAGGAGGGGGGGAGGGAAGGAGAGTGGGCATAGCTGCTGAGCTGGGAAGTAAAAATGCTTTGACAAGTGTAAGTGCTTTGCCACCGGGTGTTCTGACTCTTTCCTGGAAGAGCCTGTGGGAATGAGCACCGTGAAAGTGGTCCTTTCAGTGTGTGCACACGCCTGTGTGTGTGTGTTGTGTAAGGCTATGTGTTGGGGTGGGGTATATGCGCACACGCCTTTATATTTGGATGCACCTTTGGGCCTGTGTCTTTTGACAACCAGCCAACTCTAGTTTGGATAACTTAGGAGCTGGCTCCGCTAACAGAGGGGCAGGGAGAGCTGGGTGGCAAACGCGGGAAGAGAAGGGAGCTAGTTCGGGAGGAGAGGAGAGAAGGGAGAGGATCAAGGAGGATGCAGCTAACGTGGTTGGGTGAGGGGGCAGGAGCCACAGGACGCGTGCCATGCATGGGGGATGCCCTGCCTCATTTGCGGTCTGCCCAGAACTCTCTGAGTGACGCAGACGCAGACGTGACTTTACTCTCCTGCAGGAGTCAGTTTCCCCATCTGCGAAACGGTTGATCAAGACCCCACAGTTCGGCGAGCTGACGGCAGGGGGAGGAGGAGCCTGGAGCCTCAGCGCCCGGGTGCCCCGTCTTTGCTCAGCCTCCTCGCGCGCCTCCGGCCTCACAGAGAGAGGCAGGGGCGGGGCAAGGGCAGCCGCGGCTGGGGCCCGCCCCGCGCCACCCGGGCACGCGGGCGCCGTCAGCCCGGAGGGAGCTGACACGCTCCTTGGGAATTTATCACGCACCCAATTACAATGTTAATTGGCAAGTTCCTGAAATCAATTAATTCGCAAATTTTTTCCAATTAAAAACCCAGATAAATCACGAGGGCGGCGGCGGGCCGGTCCAGCCCGCAGTCCGGTGGGCTCGGCGGCCGTGGGGAGGGGAG